ACTATTTCAAATTACGATCAAAGCAACAATCCAATATAGGAGACGACAGCATTGTTAGCAGGTAAGAAACTTCCATACACAATGTATACTCCATACTATTTGGTAGGACTTTTCTGCCTAGATATCTGTCTGGATAGGTAGTAGCCTTGTTGGTCTAGTGGTTGTACTAGTGCGGCTGCTGATCATGAGGTCCTGGGTTCGAATCCCGGGTCGGGCCAAAAAATCAATTATTGAGTTTTTCTGTCAAGAAATTCTCAGTAGCTGCCCGGAGTCAGGAACTTGACGGTGTCTCACCCTCGTGCCTCGGAAAGCACACGTAAAGCCTTTGGTCCTGCGCCTGATTTCTCTCCGGTTGTGTCGGTTTACCGTCCCGTTGGATTATGACTTGACACTTGGACACTATAATCCTGTCCTGTATGCCGATGACTAGTCTCTGTTGAGGCTGGCCGTCGTGACCAAAGTTCGGTCTGGAAGAGGAGAGGTCTAAAGGTTAGAGAGCAAGTTCAGTTATTACAGATTGTGATGCATTCCGTCTTAGTCCTCAGAAGTGATAACGTATCTGTAGCTTATTCTTTGTTTTAAGTTGCTTGCAGATACCTAACGGCTACAATAGCTGCTTACCATCAGTTTGACTCCAAGTTTAATGTTCACTTCAGTTTTGTAAAAAAAAATTTGAGAAGATGCGTTTTATCTAATGTTGCTTTTTTATAGGATAGGGTGACAAACGAGCACACAGTCCACCTGATGGTAAGTGGTTGCTGCGGCCCATAGACATCTACATCTATCCTCGATTACAAATCAAAATGCCGATGCGTTGTCAACCGTGAGGACTAAGATGGAATGCCTCGTTTCCAGTGAAATGGGTCTTCGGTTCTCTACACTCATCATACGAAACACAGCAGCATTAAGCTACTATTTCACGCTGGTATTCTGTGAGAGCGTGATCCTTCCCCGGTCGAGCCGACCCATTCGTGCTACAACTATACTAGTAATATAACTGCAGCATGGCTCTACCCATTATTATAGGGTGGTGCTATACATTATTATAGGGTGACATGTCTTTTTATATAGAATAAGGGTAACAAACGAGCACACAGTCCACCTGATGGCAAGTGGATGCTGTGACCCATAGACATCTACATTTATCCTCGGTTAAGAATCAAAACTCGGATGCATTATCACCCCTCATGACAGATGGAATACCTCGTTTCCAGTAAAAAGAGATCTCCGGATCTCTACACTCACCATACGAAACACAGTAGTATTAAGCTGCTATTCTACGCTGGTATTCTGTGAGGAGAGCGTGGTCCTTCCCCAGTATAGCCAACCCATTTCTGCTACAACCATAATATGGCTGCAGCGTGGCTCTACTACGTATCAAAAACGTCTCTATGAAAGAAAGTGGATATTATTAAAAAATAGAGATTCTCAAAACCTTGCGTTGTCTAGACGTGAATAAAGCTAGTGGACCAGATGGTATACCAGCTATAGTACTAAAGGCTTGTGCACCTGAGTTGTCTCCTGTGTTGACATGCTTGTTCCGCCTCTCATTTAGGACTGGAATAGTGCCAAAATCCTGGAAGCTGGCCTACGTGCAGCCTGTTCCAAAAAAAAGGCATCTGTGCCGAACCTGCCAATTATTGGCCAATCTCAATTACCCCCATACTCTGCAAGATTAGGAAGCGTATATTGAACGCCCGCTTAATGGCATACCTAGAACAGAATGACCTCTAGTGACCGGCAATACGGGTTTTGCCGAAATCGGTCAGCTGGAGACCTTCTAGAGAGAGATGCCATACACGTATGGGGCGAGGCACTCGAGAACAGTAGTGCAGCAGTTGTTGTTTTACTTGATGTCTCAAAGGCCTTTGACAGAGTTTGGCACGCTAGCCTTCTGGCTAAGCTTCCAGCGTACGGCTTATCGCCTGATCTGATTGACTGGGCAAAGGACTTTCTGAGTGAACGATCTCTCCGGTTCCTCTTCGATGGCCGCTCATCCGATCCAGTGACGACTAACGCCGGTATTTCTCAGGGGTCTGTTCTCTCCGCAACTCTCTTCCTGCTGCATATAAATGATTTGCTTATGCTCGATATCTATGGGTGCGCTGACAACAGCACAGTTGTGGAGAGATACCAATCAGGTCCTCGGGCCAGTCGGGATCTAATCCAGTTCCCGACAGAGAAGCTATGGTAGAGTGTGTGAATCTCACACTACAGGCAGTCTCCGAATGGGGCGATGCTAATCTTGTGAAATTCAACGCCTCCAAAACACAAGCTTGTCTCTTCACTGCAAAAAGGAGCCAGCTCACCTTGGCTCCTTCTTTCCAAAATGTATCACTGGAATACACCAACCGCCTCCAGTTGCTGGGGGTTGAGATATCCTCAATAAACTTAATAAAACTTTTTCATCGCTATAAGGATTTTGCAGTATACACACTTTGTTCTACGTTTCTAACGAAGTAATTATGTTTTCTAATTTAAGCATGGAGCATAAACCACATAAAACAAAAAAGTTTCCGAGAATGAGGAGGTAAGCTACATAACTTACAATCAGTAACTTATTGAACGAGTAAATTGTTTATTTACCAATTTTTAATTTCAACCATAGTTCATGGAAGAAGAAACGGCGATTTGCAAAAAAGGAAAGGGATAGTTCCTGTGAAAAGTAAGTCTGGTATTGATTTTGTTTTAAAAAAAAATTATAAGAAAACTATTTTCTAATAGAACATATTTTCTTCTTCAGACATAGTTTCAAATTCATTTTAAAACCTCAAAATTTATCTAGACCTGCTTCGGAATGCTGCCTAAAGTATGTATACGCAAAATAATTACAATATATTATTAAGTAATTGCATATTTCACTCAAATTGCATGTACCTATGAACTATTGACTTTATTAATGATGTAATAATCGTAACGATCAACAATCTTTTACAAAATTACACCCTATTCCCTAGAGAAAAAGAGTTTAAAGAATTCGCCGACGTCATTTTAGATTTTGTCATAGTTTTTAACTTTTTCTCTCAGTTGAAGCTTATACAGCCACGCATTAGATGGAGTTGTCACGATATAAAGTGGATGAGGTATTGTTGCCCAACCAAACTCTTTTAAGATGTGTCCAACAATTAGTCGAGCATTGTTTTAAAGAAAAGCGATAGATTTTTCTTTTCAACACTTTGTTACTACACCTGAGGTTAATTTTCGCAGTTGTTCTCCGTAAATAATGTCATTATTTTTGAAATGAAAACTTCTTTAGCATCGTTGTGATTTGAAAGTCTATGAAACGAAAAAGCGGCAGTTAAAATAGACAGACACATAAATTCATAAGATTAACAAGAAAAATAGACAGACACAAAAATTAATAACGTGGGGGAAAATGAGATAGGAAGCATTATAGCCCAATGCTCACGAGAAAAAAGTCGCAAACGCCGCCGAAACGGCGCCGCTTAGGCCGGTTTACATTTTGAGAAGAGACAAGTGCGTGTGGCAAGTGCAACTGACAAATGACAAGTGCTTAGTGCGTATGAACAGGCAGTGATATTAATAAGTGGAAATAAAATACGCACTTGTCACTTCTCACTTGCCACTTCTCACTTGTCACTTCTCAAAATGTAAACCAGGCCTTACGCGTTTTGTTGGTGTCGTGTGCCTAGGGAATAAACAAGCAGTGAAAAACGGCTAAATCACAACTTCGTAATAGGTAAAATTGATATAAATATTTTTGTAATAAGTGAGTACTATATAAGGTTTATCGAAAAGAGTATAAACATTCGAATGGAAATTAATCTACTCGCCGTAAATATTAGTGACCATCCCGTACTTTTAAAATTACATTAACAATGTCGAAGACTTCTTTAGATATTTTAAACACGGTCATTTAAATAAAATAGGTAATAAAATAAATGAGTCCAAGTAATACTAATTTAAATAAAAAAAGAACCATCAAAACCGGTAGTAAATAGTTTCATGCGTTTCCCATCTGTATGGTTTACTTTTCATAATCTATGATTTTCGTATAGAAATGGCAGCCACGTGGCAGTGGCAGTAAACTGTCAAAATTTAACAAATACAATTAACCATATTGAAAAGAACATTCATTAATATTTCACGATTTCATAAATTCAGGCCATCTAGCGTCTATTTTACGTACCACCTTGAGTGTCAATCAGTTGTTCGATAAAGTGACTACCTATAGAATGAAGTATAGGTGGTGCTACTATAATTTTACTCGAAAGAAACTGTAATATCTATGTTATTGTTAAATTTATTTACTATAAAATTTAATTTTCTAATATTTTATGCCGAATTTGTAGTTTAAATTATAATATTAAATAAATCATTTGCCGTAAAGTATTTGTATTTTATATTTCAGTTCATTTGAACGTTTCACTTCTGTCGTCTGTGAGCTACACGCATGTTTTTTTTTGCTTTTACTCTTCTAGTAGTTTTATATTCGTTTTACGCTTGTTTCAATTAGAACTCTTATGAAGGTTTAAATCTACTCTGGTTCACAAAAACAAGACTTCTTAGTGACGACGCGGCAAGAAACTTTAGAATCTTTTTTTAAAGCGTATAACATTTTATATTAAAAATAGTTCTCAAATGAGTACTCTGAGCTCACAATCTTTTGTGCATAATAATTTAGCTTTGGCTGTGTTGATGGGCTTTTTCGCGTGGAAGCCTAAAGTCCTCACGTGTTCTCTTCTTGTTTCGTGTAATCGTAAAAGGAAACTTTCTCAGTTGGCCACACGCTACACCCTCGCTGATTATAGCATGAAGCGTCTATCCACTCTTGATTTTGAGATAGCTAATTACCTTTATTTGCTAGAATGTTCTATGAAGTGTAAGATTATTCTGTTTACCTAATATTACTTCTCAACAGATATATTATTAATTAAATTGTTTTATTTTCATAAGATTATTGTATCCAAAGGTCATCTTGCAATTGTTCAGATGCAACTTATGTGACTTCAAAAAATGCATTCCCAGCAAAAATGATTATGAAATCTCATAGTATGGTGTGCATCACCAAAACTGGAAATATGTTGGATACACAAGTCGATGTAGTCACATATAACGTTAATAAGGACTGTGAAATAGGACAAACAAATAACGAGGGAATCGCAATGCTAGAAGACACTAAATTAATAAACGCAAAATCTGTCTCAAAAGAACCAATAAAATTAAATTATAATGATGTTTCCTGTGATTGTTTAGAAGATTTGAAAATTGATGATTCACTTAAAACAAAAATTCAAGGACTAACTAATAACGGTTCTCACCAATTAAACGCTGATAGAACTGTATCTTCTTTAAAGGTAATTTCATACTTATTCAAATCATTGAGGCTTGCTGACGCCTATTAGCAACTACTTTTATAAGTTTAAATCTTCTATTACAAGGTTCAAAACCAATTAAAAATTTTGATTTTGATACATTTAAGTCACTTTTGTTCAATCTGAATAGTCACATAAATATAAGACATTCTTTATGCAGTTTATTTAGTGTGTGACGGCGGCATGAGAGAATTCATCACCATATTTTTTACCGTATGTCTGATAGATTACGTTAGACCGTCTAGTTTACGCAAAGCGTAAAAAACCTGGATCGGTTACGGACAATACTAAAAGTACGAGAACGTGCGGATGGAAGTCTGGTACTACGATCGTCAACCCTCGTGCCATGCATTTTTTATACAATAAAGGTAACAAACGAACACACAGTCCACCTGATGGTAAGTGGATGCTGTGGCCCATAGAAATCTACATTCATCCTCGATTAACAATCAAAACGCAGATGCGTTGTCACCCCTGAGGAATAAGATGAAATGCCTCGTTTCCAGTAAAAAAGGGTCTCCGGATCTCTAGAATCACCATACAAAACACAGCAGTATTAAGCTGCTATTTTACGCTGGTATTCTCACAGAATTCTCACCGGTGAAGGACGCTGTGACAGAGTAGTCCTTAAAACGAAAACTGTGCCCCAACCATAATACAGCTGCAGCGTGGCTCTACCACGTATGACGATTAAGGCTTAACCAGGGAGACACATGTCTAGCAGTTACACTTAACCGGTGATGAAGGAAATGAAGACAAAAAATCATGACCTTCTGCGCAGATGAGAAAGAACTTATTGGTCTAATAATAATCGGAAGCTTTCATCGTTTTCAAAATAATGCAATATATTGTTATTAATGTTTTTTTTATGGCTTCCTTGATTTAGTTGAGTTTTTATGTCAAGAAATTCTCAGTAGCTGCCTGGAGTCGGAAAGTTGGCGGTATTTCACCCCTGTGCCACGGAAGCACGCTTTGGTCGTGTCTGTCTATAAGAGTGCCACATTACTTAGTTAATTTATGTTTTCGTTGAGTGTGTGTAAAATGCATTTATGGCGTATGGATTGTAGAACCGCCTGTTAAGCGCGGCGAATAAGGCAAGTCGTGCGGAAAACGGGAGAGGATTATGTCCTCTGTCCATGGACTCTTACTAGATGATGATTACGAAGAAGAAGTGTGGGTTCTCAAGAAGTTATAATTTTGTCAATTTAACGTAAATACTCAATAAATTCTCTCTACATACTTTAAACAATATGAATATTTTTTAAGACACATGTAGCGAAAGAAACTAGATTTGATAAAACAAATGTTATAACTGAAACGACCAATAAGGACCAACATGAAATAACAACAAAACGGCAAACCGTCTTCTGCCAGTGTTCACTTCACAATATAGAAACAAAAGACGCTCGTGACCGACATTACGAAACAGAACAGGAAATATCTAAAGAGGTAGGTATCATGCCATTATATTACTCGCATATGGTGTTCGATCTCTTAAAAATTATCACCAATTACTTCCATTGTTACAAAACCGCAGAGTTTTAGCACTTTAAAGGTGAAGGGAAGTAATTATCAAGTGACACAAAACATCTATAAGAACTAATTTGTGCTTATTTAAATATTTCGGACTTCTAGCTGTAAACTGCGACTTTGGCCGATTGCAATTTCGTAGTTCCTGTTCTGCAAATGTTCATGAGTAAGGTACATGAGGGTAATATAGTCACCTTAAGCCTCACCTTATAAAACAAAAATTAGGAGGAGGTCAGAAACAAAAACACAAAGTCGTATACTTACTAAAACCACTATATTTAAAAAAAAATAGCAAACAACCTTTGGCAATAATTAGGAGCACTTCGAAAATTCAATTTAAAAAAAAAATATTGGTTGCCTGTAAAGTCGGTATACGGGCGAAAGTTTTACGTGACAACGACTCTCTCACTCTCTCTCTCTCGCTCTGTCTCTCTCGCTCTTAGGCGGGCTAACTGTGCTCGAGTGGAAGGGACGCGTGCCTTTCACTTTTTATGTCTGTCTCTCTCGCTCTTAGGCGGGCTAACCATGCCCGAGTGGAAGGGACGCGTGCCTCTCACTCGCTCTCATTGTGAGCGCATAACGTGAGCGGAGCGTAACGCAGTTTCTTGAAGTGTCACCCGGCAAACCAATTTATAAGACGTTGCCACGTCAAAAACTAACTGCACTACAACATACTAAAATCGACTAAAAAAATTACTATAACGTCAACTGTCAAAATGACGTCGATAAAGCAGAGCCCTTTTGACCCTTTGTTATTTGATTGACCGATGAAGAGCTATCGTATCACACAGCCAGCTATGCAAACAAGGTTGCAGTTTATGAGTTATAAGAAAGTGACTATATTACCTAACCGGATGACAATATTACCCTCACGTACTATAATAGAACCACGCTGCAGCTATATTATGATATAGCACTAATAGATCAGCTGCCTCAATGGTCTAGTGGTTGTAAACGCGATTCCCGATCATGAGATCCCGGGTTCGAATCCCGGATTGGGCCCAAATCAGTTATTGGGTTTTCATCATCATCATCATTACAACCCTTCACAAGTCCACTGCTGAACATAGGCCTCCCCCAAGTAATGCCACAAAGCACGGTCCTGAGCCACCTGCATCCATCGACTTCCTGCATGTCTTACCAGGTCGTCACTCCATCTAGTGGGGGGTCGCCCTACACTACGCCTACCGGTACGAGGCTGCCACTCGAGAACTTTTCTTCCCCACCGGTTATCGGTTCTTCGAGCTATATGGCCGGCCCATTGCCACTTCAGCTTACTAATCCGTTGGGCTATGTCGGTCACTCTGGTTTTACTGCGGATATCCTCATTTCTGAGTCTATCACGCAGAGAAACTCATTAGCAACCCGGCGTCAGGAAGTTGGCGGTGTTTCACCCCCGTGCCTCGCAAGCACGTACAGCCATTGGTCCTGCGCCTGATCTCTCTCCGGTCGTGTCGGATTAGTGTCCTATCGAACCATGAGAGTGTGAGAATAAAGAGTGCACCTGTGCTTGCGCATACACTTGGCACTATAATCCTGTCCTGCGCAGATGGCTAGTCTGCATTGAGACCGGCCGCTGTGACAGAAATTCAATCTGGAGGAAATTATTGTTATTATTAGGTCGGCTCGACCATAGAATACTACTCATAGAATACCAGCTTAATGCTGCGGTGTCTCGTATGATGAGTGTAGAGAAACGGATAACTATTTCACTGGAAACGAGGCATTCCATTTCAGTCTTCAGGGCTGACAACTGGTGACAATGCGTCTGAATTTTGCTCAATTATGGAAGTTCGAAAAATATGTCTAGGGCCCACAACGTCTACTTACCATCAGGTGGACTGTGTGCTCGTTTATCATCCTTATTCTATAAAAAAACATGATCTAATTCAGATATAAGACAATATGTCCAAAGTTAAACAACATCTCTTTATCGACTAATATTTTACCATTAAGAGGATGCCACAAAAATAATCAGGTTACGAAGTGTACCTACTTACACTCGAGCAAACCGCATAATTCATGTCACTATGTGACTAACCAAATGCGTCAACACGCATTTGGGCAGCGCGGCGGACACTTCCTTGCCCTAAACCCTCTCAGAAATGAGGGGGAGTCCTGAGCCCAGCAGTGGGACGTATATAGCCTGTAACTTTACTTTACTTTTACTTTTATGTGACTAACTGACTAACCGTGTGAGAAACAGTTTTACCGCTTGTTAACTCCTTCAAATATGAAAGTCTCTCATGTTTTATTAATTGTCATCACAAAACTACATCAAAAAAAATCAAAAATTTTAAATTCAAAAAGCAAGTCGTTGGGAATCAATAGAATGTACGGCACAAACAGTATTGTTCCCATAACAGATAAAATAAATATAATTAAAATTTTGAGTTTTTAGAGCCAGCGGTTTTGCTTAGTTATTATGTCATATATGACACATTTTGTCATTCGTATACTTATTGATTGTTTAAATCGTCCGAGTACGTGCATACTTTATTAACACTTAAATTTCAGGTTAGCTATATGTCTTCATTTTGGTACCCGTTCACACTCCATAGTTATGTACATACATTTTAGTTTCTACAGTACACCCAACTGTTTAGGCTATGCGTCGAGTTTGTTAGTCAGTCAGTAACAAATAACACAACAACTAAAAACATGCCACTGCACGTCACAGGTCACTAGTTTCAAATGGGGTAATGGGGCAAGTAAAAGTCTATTATCTATTATTATCTTTTATCAGCGTTTACACCTACTGCATATTTTTATATTCGCAATAGGGTATGCTTTAGGAATTACGTCCGCCTGTACATAATATATTATGTTCTGTGAAGTTAAATAAGTAAAAGTCTGTCGTTTAAGTAATGTGTGTTTAGTTATTACTTAACACGCAGAATTTCGACGGTTAAAATAACAGTGGAGTTTTAGTGATGTCGTCGAGGATCGAACTCTGGTTGTTCAATTACTATGAAACTTAGGGCGAGTGCTAGCCGCTAATTTACAGGATAACATACATAATACAAGTATTTTTTTATTAAGGGGACATGTATTCAAGGAAATTGTAATGCACTATGCTGTCCAACAAGACCAACGCAACCACAACAATTTCAACAAAAACAGCAACTTTGCGTGCCATCCAAAAATATGACGGCGGAGTTTAAAAATACAAACAATGAGGCTCCCGCATTAATAAAGGACTTTAATGTTCGTAGTGTTCAAACATCTGATCATTCTATAGTCATTGTAAGTATCATTTATATTTTAACAGCCATAGACACACTTACTATTTCTAATATACATGATGACATGTTAACGGAGTAGACGCCAATAGCACTGATATTTCACAAAAATAAAAACAAAAAATTTAAATTAATTAATTATTTAATTAAAATCTATCGAAGTTCAAATCATATCCAGCCTACTTTACGTAGGGCAAGAAAACAATAGATTTAGTAGGCATCTTTGTCACTTCGCAGGGTCACAGGATCAAGGGCAAAGGGCAAAGTAAATGTTAAAAAAATTTATAAATTCAATAATTTTATTTTTTATTTTTTGTTAAATATCTGTGCCATAGGCTTCTACTTGTTACATGTTTGTGTGCACTTATTTCCAGACGGTAAAAAAGATCATCCAGTATAATCGCAACTGCATCGGTACACTTTCGGGTGCTCTGACTGACGTATATCCGGGTCAAAATTCAATACTGCCCCATTTGTCAAGTGGTCATTAATACGGCTGCTGATTATTAGTTCAAATCCCGAGTCAGACCAAAAAAATCAGTTATTGAATTTGTCTATAAAGACGTTCTCAATAGCAGCGGAGGCAGGAAATTCGCGCTGTTTCACCCCCGTGCCTCAAAAATTTGGTATTGCGCCGGAACTATCTTCTGTCGGATTGTCGTTCCATCCCATTATGAGAGTGGGGAATAGAGAATGCACCTGTGCTTGCGCTTGCACTAGGGCACTATAATCCTCTCAACACAGATGGCTCGGGCAATTCTAGAAGACATTATGCGATAAGATAGCTTGGACGCAGTAAACTAAGCTACACATAAATAATCAAAATACAATATATCTAGCCCCGAATGGAAGATAAATTACTCTGATGAAATCCTAACATTTTGGATGATTTTTTTACCGTTTGGAAAAAAATAAGGTGTATAATATAGTCAAGATCCCGCCTGATATTGCTCTTTATCTATTCGTAAAGCTTCATTACAATTGATTAAGCCAGTTCGAAGATTAGCTCCGACAAGTAGGCTGAAATTTTAAAAATGTAAAATTTTTTGTCTTAATAACATGCAAATTATAACCCTCTGCGCTATATATCATCCTGTTATTTCAATATTCCACACACACTTCAATTATATTTATATGTATTAGTTAATTAGTATAATCATCGGTTCTGATAAAACAAATTTGAACCGCGAAAGTATACTTCACCAACACGAATTGACACAGCGCGATAAACTCATTCCCGCTCTAAATATTTTTTATGTTGCAGGAACAAGACGTGTTGCCGGGATTCCCCTTATTTATGAAACTAGTGTGTGGAAACAGATTATGTCAAGAATCGATACAATAATTTTTAACATATTATTCAAATTAGGGGAAGTTTCGATTGATGTTTTTAATAACTTTTAATCATTGTTTATTGGGTTGGCTAATTAATAAATAATTAAAAAAAAAACAAGATTAAAAGTTATTTAATAAAGTTTAATTATAAAACAATCTATAATGACTATTTACACAATAGTACAACACATATCTCATATTACACATTTAATTCGGAGCTCCATAAGAAGTAGCAGGTTGCGTATTTGGTAGGAAATTTAAACTTCCGGTATTTGAACTAGATTGACTACCTGTAGAAATTGATGGTAAGCTATAACTTCCTGATGGGCTTAATGCGGCCGATGAAGACAAGCTCGATGAACTGGTTGAAAAGGATGAAGTCTGTGACTGGCTTGGCAGATGCGAGTTCTGAACAAAAGAAGATATTTCCACACTTGGTTTAGCATTTTCCAAAGTCACGCCCGATACCAAGGACAGGAATCCCGCTTCTTTCGCAGATGTATGCTCGTTTTCTTTTATAATGTTTTGCACTCGGTTGACGACTGTCGAATCAAGGGCTTCTCTATGTGTTTGACTCTGTGCCGCAGTGTTATAATAATTTGAATCAGCTTGATAACTTGATAAAGATGGTATAGGAATACTGCTGTGCGATTGGGTTTGAAGAGGAAACTGAGATATTAATGAACTGGATTGAGTTTGTGGTAGCTGGAAGGAATAACCATGATCAGGAGTATAAAGTTGTGGTTGATAATATGTTATTGGAGATGGCTGCTGAGGTGTTACTAAAGCAGGAAGTGGACGTATAGGTGTTACGGGAAGTTGTACTTGAGGTTGACTGTAGGATATACTAGGTTGTTGATAAATTTGTTGAGGTCGAAGATAGCTTACCGAAATCGGTTGTGGAGCTGGGTGCGGTAGGGACTGGTAAGATATTTGTGGCTGTATTGCCGTTTGATGATGAGAGGTAAGAGGTTGAGGTGCCGGCTGGGGATAACTATATCCTGATTGAACAGAATGAGGTTGAGATACGGGATGAGAATGGAATGCCTGTGTTGGTAAATGAGGATGTGGCAATTGTGGAAGTGGCGCTAAATGTTGCAGGATCGTTGGTGATAGCGGCGGCGGCAGTGGCGGTGGTTGTGCGTAGTTAAAGGATGGCGCGTGAGCAGCTGGACGTGGCAGGTGGTATGGAGCCTCCGCAACTGCGGCGGCTACCAGAGATATCACCAATATCTGAAAATAATATTTAAGATTATTTATAAATCTAACCATACCTATTCGGATTTTCAAACTTTCTAAGGGAATTAAAATAGATGTTTTATTTAAGAAGTTATGTTTATCACTGTATGAGTAGTTAAGTTCTAACTCATTACACTCTCTAATGGAGCAGGTCGCATTGTTTGGATTGAGTTAGAAACTAGACCCGCTAAATTGTTGACTTTGGGGCACGTACACAATTTTCACTTTCGTCGTGTTTGCGTACTCACCGCGCTTCTCATGGCTGATGTGGTTTGTTTGCAATATGTTTTAAAAATCCTACAGTTTTATACCCGCCACCTCTTCGAATCTTTGAGGCTGGCGGTCGGGTCTTGCGATTGCACAAAAGAATTATGTATGGTGTCGTTATAAGCGTTTCAGTCGATAATTATACACATGTAACAACATGTTTACTTTCAATCGATTTTATTTACTTTTTGTGACTCGTGTTTCTTTATGTTTTGACACTTATGAATATACGTTATCTATTTTCTTAAGATTTAAAGATATTAAATAAAATTTTCTTTCTAGGTAACATACAAACCGCCATCATCATCATAATTACATGCGTCATAAGTACATTGTTGAACGTAGGCCTCTTCGGAAGAATGCCACAATACACGGTCCCGAGCCACTTGAACAATCGATTCTACAAATCGTACTAGGTCTTCATCATCTAATAAGGATCAGTCCTATATGCACTTTATTGGTACGACGTTGCTATTTTTTTTAAATACTAGCAAAAATATTGATATTACCAATATTCCCTTTAAATACATCTGGTAAGCTTAAATTGCTTGTGGTCCACGACAATAGTCGAATGGTGGATTCAAACCCACGACTTTTAGAGTCCGCACTATACCATTAGGCTCTTGTACCTATTGGTTGTTCTTCAAACTGTATTGCCGGCCCGTTGCCACTTTAAGTTACCGATTCATTGCGAATCTTATTAGTTACTCTGGTTCTACTGCAGATATATTATTTACTGTATGTACTAGACTACCAGATATTACTCAAATGGTATATTTGTTACAGCAATATAACTTGGCGATTAGTATAAGTGCCTTTAACAAAGAAACAATACGTGTAATGCTGAATCGTATAGATAGCCACGCATTTACACATCACATTAATCCTCAGATGTGAAAGCTCATCTATCGCGTTCTATGTACGAAGTTGGTTGCAGGTGTCCGTAGTCATTTACCATATGTGGCTGTAACTCCGTTTGTCACTTCAATTTTATAAAAAAAAGAATTGTTTAGCAGGGAAGAGTTGAGCCCGTAACAATTTCATTGGTGCGGCGGTAATCGAACTCGGTTTGCTCAAATTTTCAAAGCAAGTGCTTATCTCTCGAGCTACCACGGCCCCTAAATGATTGTTTAAGTACATAAAATACATTTTGTCGTGTTTCATTTCAACTTGTTTTTAATTTCCGTGGGAGAATACTAACCTTGATCCCAGATCAGGAGAATTTTTTAAGTTCTTTTTATTAGATTCTATTTCTGGTAGTACCACGCTGCAGCTATATTATGTTTGTAGCACGATTGGGTCGGCTCGACCGGGATAGGACCAAGGTCTCAAAGATTACCAGCTCATTGCTGCTGTGTTTCAGAGAATGATGAGTGTAGAGAACCGGAGAACCTTTTTACTGATAACGAGGTTTCATCTCAGTCCTCAAGGGTCTCTCCATCTTATTTCATAATTTAGTATAAATGTAGATGTCTATGGGCCACAGCATTCACTTAACTACAGATGGATTGTATGCTCGTTTGTCACCCATATTCTATTTCGACCTTAGAGGATATATGGGCAATACATGGATGAAATAGATAGAAAAGCCTAAAGTAAAAAAAATCTCAAGCCAAATCGTAATCTAGTGGTTGGTTAATTAAACCAAAACGCATCCGTTTTTCCATAAAAAGGGCCCAGGTAGTCAATCGGCGAAAGGTGTGTAATTTTCGCTTCGAATTTTACTCTGATAGCTCAACAAAAAGAAATCCTGACTTGTATCAATTTAGTATACATGTATGAACCCAAAGAAGCACAGTAATATTTTTTTGTTGTTTAGAACTGACGAAAGATAATATGAATGAGTCGCAGTGTCAATACAACTGAGCTCCTATGAGATAATCTTAATGCTAATATTAGTGATCCAAAAATTCCTATTTTATGTAATCAGGGTTGTCAGAAAATCGACTCTTGGGCTCCATTTTTATCGGTTATTTTATTTTTTGGAAAGTATAACATGCGCTTTGAGTGAAATACATTTAACGATAATGATTAATGACTTACAAAAATAGTTCAAGGATGAAATGTTGATATTTTTACCTAGACTTAAAAGTAAGAAAAGAATACTACTTTTACGACTGATACAAATTCAAGGATTCAAAAATATTAAAATACTAAGTGATCAACGTGTCGTAAGTACGAGTAATTACAAGGCACGGAGCGACCTAAATTCTGTTCGAGTAATATAACGTCTCGGTTTATATTTTACATTTGGCATATCTTTTATTTAAATTTAACTGCATTTTACTTCAAATGAGGTAATTAATAAAGCGATACCTCAACAAGAAATGTCTTGCTGATAACATTTGTACGTGGTAGAGCCACGGTACAGCTATATTATGGTTGTAGCATGAATGGGTCGTCTCGACCGGGGAAAGACCAATACCTAACAGAATACCAGCGTAAAATAGCAGCCTAGTACTGATGTATTTCGTATGGTGAGTGTAGAGATCCGGAGACCCTTTCTTACTGGACTTTCTTAATGGAATGTCTCCAATCTTAGTCATCAGGGGTGACAACGCATCTGCGTTTTGATTCTTTATCGAGGATAAATGTAGATGTCTATGGGTCACAGCATCCACTTACCATCATGTGGACTTTGTGCTCGTTTGTTATGCTTATTTTATAAAAAAAATTGCCTGTTATCTTTTTTCACTTTAGATAAGCCTACCTTAACCTACTGCCAATCGAATTCACCATTTCCCGTCGTCGCTCACAAAGTATTTTAGTTACTTGTGTAGTTTTTATATTGCTGTTCTAAAAATTTTAATGCATTATGTTTATGTTTTTTGCACGCAAGGAAACAGTCCAGTAGTGGCAAAATAATAAAATTCCATCGAAGTTTAAAAGTTACAGAATGTCCTTATATCATGATCATTATAGCTCATCACAAGTCAATAATGAACATAGGCCGCCTTTAAGAAACGCCACAAGGCACGGTCTTGAGCCACCTATATCAATTCAATTCCGGCACTTCACTTCATCTAGTGGACGGCCGCGGCCGCCCCAAAAAATCGCTTACCGGTATGATTCTGCCACTCAAGAATCTTTCCTCATAGCTGGTTATCGATTCTTAGAGCCCTATGACCAGCCCATTACCATTTCTCCTTACTGATCCGTTGGGCTATGTTGGTTTTCCCGGAGTTGGCTCCGAATGTTCTAGGTAACAGATTTCGTAGTATCGTAATACCCCAACCGAGCAATGTCAATATCAGTCGGGAACAAATAGTTTTTCCGTTTATTTAATAATTTCCCATAAAAAATATTATATGACTTTCAGAAGCGTATTCAGAAATCACCAAATGAAATGATTTCTGAATCTCGACCACAGCGCCACCTACCGGGTCCAAATGAGTTTTTAAACTATTCCGGGACCCACTTAAATACACACATAAAAATCATTACAACCGTTCAAGCCGTTTTCGAGTTTTGTAGCGAGACTAAATTGCAACGGACTGTAATTGATTTTTATATATAAGAATTTTGGGCAATATTTTATATAGGCAAGCGGAAATAAATAGTAAACTTATTTTTGGACAATCTTTTTCAGGTGAATTTTATTTTGTTTTTTTTTTCATAAATTTCGTTAACGATAACGAGACAAAAAATTATGAAAATCTGTGCGTTACTGTAGCATTGGTTGGGTAGCCTGGGTTCGAATTACACACGGAACAAATTCTTTTGTCCAAAACATGTCTAAATAAGTTAATGTATAAGACATTGTGATAAAGATTTATACGTGGTAGAGCCATGCTGCAGTTATATTAGATGTATAGTTGTAGCACGAATGGGTCGGCTCGACCGGGGAAGGACCACGCTCTCACAGAATACCAGCGTGAAATAGTAGCTTAATGCTGCTGTATTTCGTATGGTGAGTGTAGAGAACCGGCGACCCATTTCACTGGAAACGAGGCATTCCATCTTAGTCCTCACGGGTGACAACACATCTGCATTTTGATTCGTAATCGAGGATAGATGTAGATGTCTATGGGCCACAGCAACCACTTACCATCAGGTGGACTGTGTGCTCGATTGTCACCCTATCCTATAAAAAAAATAAAGAATCAGAATCTGTAAAGATTTTTTTCTCTTACGGTTTCTTGATGTTTTTTAATGTTTTATGTTTCTTTCTATGATTACTTATGGTTAAGGAAATTGAGATCAAAAAAATGCCAGGTTAAAATCCCTCATTTGATTACTTTCGGAACTATTACTAGAACAAGTATTTTGAGTTAAGAATTAAGACTTACTTTTTGAAACTTATAAATCACTTACTTATAAATCTCCTGAAATACTTATAAATCTCCTGAAATGAAATTATTGCACAAAAATAAAATCAATTATAATACTTTAACATACGAACAAGATATGCGTAATGATGGATAAGAGAATCATAAAAATTGACGCGTTAAAAATTATGAAGACGAAACTAAATCTCTATGGAGAGATTCGACAATGAAACCGTCTAAATGTTCAAATGGAAAATTTAATTACTAATTTCAGGGTATGTTCAGGGCTTATTTTATAAACTATTTTTTTTATTTTTCCATTACCATTTGTTTACTTCTGACAATAGTGCTCCCCGTAGATAGCCAAGTGAGGGATTCTGGCACGTTTGACAGACGCATTGACGACAGCAGTTTTTTCAATAATTTTGAGTTGTTACCGGAAAATGCTACTGCTGATATACTGTTTTGGTTTTCCGACGAACTTACGACACTTATGGAAATATTTGAGATAGTGAATGCTACATTCTTACATCGCCACGACGCGCTTTACACCATTTCAAGCGCCCGCATCGATCCGTCTCGACGAGGTTGGATTCTAAAATTTTCTCCGCTTTATTACTAATTAAAAACGATCTTAACCACTAGTAATATCAGATTATAGAAAATAATATGTTATTAAAAAAATTCTATATATGTATATTGTTTTAACGCCTACCTTATAAAGCTTAATCACGGGACTAAGTATTTAATTTTTAAAACTAAATAATCTGTAACATATACATAGAAATAAAATTAAATATATTATATTATATCGTACGTAACAACAACAACGATATCAAATGAATAAAAAAATTATAAAAATATGTAATATAAAGGTAAATTACACTATTTATGTACTCATTTGCGGTTTTTAAAATTTTCGAGGACAAGCAAGTTGATAGGAGCCCCTATTCTGTCCAGGAACCTGTCTGAGTTGGTACCATCCTCTTACCATGTTCTACTGATAGTCAGCAGTAGGTATACCGCCCACTGTGTTTTGGTACGAAGAGAACCAGTATAAAGAAGCTGCGGCGTTTCATATTAATCCTCGGAGGTCTTCAGACTTCTACGCATCCTTGGTCTGCTTTGAATTTGAAGTTAGTTGCAGGTTAAACTCAACTGTCAGTCTAATATTACAAAAGATGAAACGAATGCAGCAGCTGCTTTTTTAAAATTTATTTTTCGGCAACCCTAGGCGCGTGTAATGTTTTCAACTATTTGGTTAACCAATAGTAGCCCATATAGAAGCTTAAGTGCAAACAATGAGGTAAGAGAGAAATTTAAACTGGCAATGGCGGCGCGGGTCACAAATTTACACCTTTATTTCATTCTCAAGTGACTAGAAGTCAGTTACAAATGCATTAGATAACAATTTGGGTCTCGCTGTCATTCGCAACTTTACTACTTTTGGGTACTCTGCAATTAAAATTAATTTTGCCTAATGTAAATCGCAAGTTACCTTCTGGCCCTTGGTTATGTTAACACGTAACATAATGGATCTTTCCCTTCAGCTTGTTCCATTCAACTTCAAATTAGCATAAATCCACATTGTAAGTAGGCGCTGTATTCCATAGACTTCGGTATCTTTTCTCGATTAAGAATTAAAATACTCGAAAGAGATTAATAATGCTTTTTAAAAGGCCACCAACGCACCTGTTATTTCTCTAGTTCTTCAGTTGTTCGTTCACTTCTTCTTATTTAAAAATAATACAAAATGTCTCGTTGACAGTAAAAAGGATTTCCTTTTCCCGTCATTTGCCATACGTAACGCAGTAACATTATTCTACCTTTTACGCCGGTTCCCTTGAAAGCATGGTCATACCAGGATCGGCTAGAGCTCTGTGCCACGATATCATTGATTTCAATTTTTGAACTTAATTAACTAAAGTAAAATTCAATTCTACTTTGCGCAACTTCATGCGCAGGGATAAAAGGATATCTAGGCTGCAAGAAAATTTAAGAATTTGTATTGTTAAAATATTAGCCCCAGATTAATTATCCAGGAAGATAACTGAGTAATATATATACAATAAACATCTCACCCGGATATCCTCTTAGCGCAACCTGCCTGCCAAACGTGGCAAATTACTTTTAAGTTAGGAAGGTGTGTATAATAAAACGTAAAATACTTATCTAATATGTTTTTATTTGCATTGAGTTATAACATTTTATAAAATCTGTGTATTTTTAAGCATGAGTAATTAGGTAATATAACGCATCGCATCTTTCGTGTACACTATACTAAATGTTCTAGGTATTAATACAAATATATAGCACAGTCATAAATAGAAATTATTATAAAAAGCTTAGCCGCAACATAAAACTAAACAGAAGTTTTTTATAGAATAAGGGCATCACACAATCCACGTGATGCTGTGGCCCATAGACATCTATCCTCCAAAATGCAGATGTGTTTTCACTCCTGACAACTAATATGGAATGTCTCGTTTCCTGTAAAAAGGGGTCTCAAATTCTCTACACTCACCATACAAAATAGTAGCGTTTCAGCATTCAGATGCTATTTTACGGTTGTATTTTGTGAGAGCGTTGCCCTTCTCTGGTCGATCTGACCCATTTGTGCTACAATCACAATATATTTACGGCGTGACCCTACCATGTAAACCATAAATGCTCCTTATTTGTTTTTATCTAACTTTTTTTAGCAATTCATTATTTCTTAATTGGATAGTCGCGAACGGGCTGCGGAGGCGGACGTCCCTTGCATCCCTTTATTTCCGCCTCACGTTGCTTCCTCTTTGCCACAATCCGGTCGTGAGTTCGTTTCATTTCAAAAATCTCCTTCATTTCTTCTTTTTCTTCATCCTGATAAATTTAAGTTTTTAATAAATAAAGAAAATCTGTGTTAAATAAGTGCTCAAAATTAAAACAAATGAAGAATCGGACTTCAGTTATATCTCTAAGGCCGACTAAAGACGTCATTCGTTCCTTACTGATTAAATATGTATGATTGGCACCTAATCAATAATAAATATTTATTAAGTTATTAATCATCTTTTTAATTACAGCAACCATAATTAGAGCAGCATAGGTCTTGTCTTGAATAAAATCTCAGCAATGGATTAACATTCTCTACAATCGAGTTTACTAAATCCACTTACTATACTATAGTACGTGAGGGTATTATAGTCATCCGGTTAATATGGTCACTTTCTTGAAAAACTACAGCGTTGTTTGCACTTCATCGGTCAATAAAATACTAAAGGGTCAAAAGGGCGATGCTTAAAGTGATTTCAATATAAAAAAAAAAAAAAAAAAAAAATATATATAAAAAAAAAAAAAAATTTATATATATATTGAAATCTAAGGGCGCTAGTGTAAACACCGTTGTCCTTGAAACCAGTGGTTTGGTTTCACTTATAGAACGTAAATTCAATGAATTTAAAAGAAAACCCTATTTTCTTTCATAAAATTTAAAAAGTATCTGTCCGACACCGTCCGTAAATTCATGGATACCCTATGCGCCCGAGTGACGTAATCACTGGAAAGATCACTGCCCGCGCTAGCTACCTACACTACATTCCAATAAAAACACAATAGGTACACATAACCTGTGATGTAACTTTTCCTTCATACTTTCATCCTGGCTTAGGACAAGCAAAAATTGAGGAATTAAGGAAAAATTGAGATTTTACTAAAAAAAAGATTGTTATTTTTCATTGAATTTACGTTCTATAAGTGAAACCAAACCACTGGTTTCAAGGATAACGGTGTTTACACTAACACCCTGTATATATATACTACTTAAATATCTTTGGCGATGCTATATCGACACTATTTTGACAGTTGACTGTATAGAGTACATATTACCTCAATGGGCGTTGTGTAGTTAGTTTTTCAGACTTTTTGTTTTTAGACTTTGTGTTTTCGTCTCTGTCCTAGGGCGGTAAAGCTTATTTAAGGAGTATATTAACCTCTCGTACCTTAGTTGTTATTTACCGATTAAAGTCCACTGCTGAAAATAAGCATCCCTAAGTATTATCTTTTAAGAGAGTGGTAGCTCAGATAGTTAGCGCTCGCTGTTACTTTCACAGTACGCGAACAAACTGGGTTCGATCCCTGCCGGCACCAATGGAATCGTTAATTGCAATTATAAGCGCTGAATTACCACGTACTCGGCGGTGAAACCTGCATGTCTGAGAAATAAGAAAAAAATATTTCGAAGATATGTGAAGTTCGCCAACACGCATTGGGGCAGCGCGGCGGACAATTCCTTGCCCTAAAACCCTCTCAGAAATGAGCGGAGGCCTATGCCCAGGAGTGGGACGTATATAGGCTGTAACTTTAAGAGCTAAATACTTACACCGCCACTACACAATATATCTCTGCACCACGGCTTTTACCACGTACCGAAACACCATATGAAAAAATATTTCAAGACATGTGCGCACACACATTGGGGCAGGGCGGATTTCTTGCACCTCCATAGGGTACAGGCCGTAACTTTACTTCTTTACTTTACTTTATATCTCTGCATATAACCTCACCGTCTGATTAATCCTCAAAACCAGCGCCCTCTTTCCATTAGCCATCGGTTGGCTGTAAGTCAGCAGCTGTTTCAATCGCTGTTGCGGGGGCACTCCTCTTTCCACCACCAGCACGATGCGAGCCCACTGCCTCTGCCATTCGTTGCGTGTCTCCGCTATCTTCTGATACGTGTTTCCCATCATAGCGATCAACATGTTGACTAGAAGTATGGCCACTATTATCATGTACAGGACGAACAGAAGCTGAAATGAAAAATACTTTCACTTATTTGATTTCGCTTCGATTACCTATTTTTTGCTTCTTATAATAAGTCGGTGTAAGAATTTCCACTACCCCGTGTCGTCCTGTGGATATCGTAAGAGGCGACATGGGGAAACCGAAACGGATGGGCATACGCATCTTCCTGACAGCTCAGCATACGAGTAAATATAAAACTGCAGCTTCCAACTTGCCTACCAAGCGTGGCAACTATGGCAAAATGGCTCCCCCCATACGGTCTATGTTCAGCAGTGGCCTTTTATATGCTACAATGGATAATGGATAGATAGATTTGACACAGAACTCCAAAAGTGCTTATTATTAGTATACAACTGGTAATAAAAACCCTGTAGTTCTTTCTGTTGTTAATTGCGTTATCAAAATCAGTACTTAAACGTATAGAAATAGCTTCTTTACAGAAAACTAGACCGTTAAATTTTACTATTTTATTTAAATAAATTTTAATTCGCAAATTGTATGTGGTTTGGTATGTATGGATGGTAATACCATTGTGGTGTGTGATGTGGTTTTATTAACATTTGTGGCATTTTCTGGGGAGTAAGAGGATTGTCAAAGACCCCGCTTTACTGATGCTCGTGTCAGTCAGAGGTAAAAAAAACACATACAATTAGGAAATAAAAGAATATTTTAATTACATTAATTTATTTAATGGTCGAGTATTTTCGAAAAAAAAATATTTTTATACCTTTCAATACTGGCTCTGATAACGCACTTAACGCGAACCACCGGGTTTTCGCTACATATTTCATACGTATTATATTATCATTTTCGTTATATAAATATCTGTAGCCTCTATTTTGTAGAAATTGACTTTACCTGAAAATAATTGGTCGAAAAAAATATTTTTACCTTCGCTTCAATCTCGTGGTCCGTACGTTCAAATGCGCTATAATAATCTGAGAAGGAGGTGAGCGACATTAGGAACATAGCCATAATGCTTTCCATAGGTGATGGCATGGGGTTCGACACAGAGTCGTCGACTCCCTCCGGCGTGTTTGGATTATCGAATGATAAAAATATAACGTAGTATGCTGTAAAATAATTTCTCTGATTTCAGATTGCATATTATATTGCGTATTTAATAAATATTATTTATACAATAAGTTTGTATAAAGTATACTGTAAAAAAAGTTATGAAAACTACAAATTATAATAAAATGAATCAAATCTCAATTTTTAACCTACTTCAAAAAAAGTGGAAGTTCCCAATTCATCGGAATATGATTTCTTTTACCGCTCACTGAAATAATACACAATGTTCAAAGTTAACTTACATATTAAAATTTAACTTTTGTTCCGATCTATGCAGTATAAACTTATGGCTTTGATTTAATTATAGATCCCAACAATACACCACATCTTCTCTATTGAAATTAGGATGTTTTTTGATTTCAATAGTCTTCAGTTTATTTTTGCTTGGAGAGGAGGTAATTTAGGGATGATCCAATATAAAATTGATTAAGGTCTGATAATGAGATCCTGAATCATCAAACTCTTCAATTTGCAGAGGCATGCACGACATATGGCTGAACAATTCTTTACCACGTCTACCGATGTCGATGATTATATCTTTTTGGTTTTTTAAAGTCGGTATTTACTTATTTCAAAGTTGAATCTTGTCATTGTAATAATATTTTAATTTAATTTTTAATTACATCATGAGAAAGCCTGCACGTTAGAGAAATAAGAAAAAAAATATCGTAGATATTTGTGAAGTTCGCCAACGCGCATTGGGGCAGCACGGCGGAGATTTTTTTTCACTTCCTCAGTATAACTAGAATAACCGACGTAGCTCAACGGATTATTAAGCTGAAATGGCAGTAGGCCGACCCCCGCCATATAGCTCGAAGAACCGACAGCCGACGGGTAGAAAAGTTTTTGAGTGGCAACCTCGTACCGATAAGTGTAGAGTAGGGTGTACCCCACTAGATGAAATGACGACATAGTTAGACATGCAGGAAGTAGATGCATGCAGGTGGCTCAGGCCCGTGCTTTGTGGCATACCTTGGGGGAGGCCTATGTTCAGCAGTGGACTTGTAAAGGGCTGTAATGATGATGATGATGAAGACTTAAATTGAAATACTAAATTAAAACGTAACATCTATTTTGAAACTACTTTAAAGTTGTACCTTGCGAAAATCCCATGACGAACACCAAATAAATGCACACGAAACGCAAAAGATCTCCCATCACCATTTTATAGATCATCACCACGAAGGGGCCGACAGTTTTGAAACCTCTGGAAATAATATTACGAATAGCTATTAAGTTAATTTCTAACTTTTAATCACTTATAATATTTATGAGCCCTGAATAGAGTTATGCTTAATCTCCTCTAATCGCCTCTATGAAGTGCTCAATAGGGCTCGCTTTTTTTTCAGATTTTAAATTATTTATTTTCGACAACCACAAATTACATATGATTCAATAAACAAACATTGTATAAAAAGGTTATTATAATATTAAAGATATATAAATGTAAATGCCCCCTAACAAAAATAACCCCTGGGAAAGAGCATGATCTGCGAAACTCCACCATAGGACCAGATGCCCAGGAAGTCTCCACCCCTTCGTTGTCGACTTACCGCGCATTCGAACTAAACCGGTTGCTTAGGCCTTCGTCATGCATGTAGCAAAGTAGTGTAGCTTACCAGCATCGGTTTTTTCATCTAATTAAAATGTAGGTATCTTGAAGTCTAGTCTATTCAGACTTTTTTAAGCTAAGTGAGACAGTCAGTCTGCCGCTGCATGACAACTTACCATCAGGTAGAATTATAGTCAAGCACCAGCTTAGAATAATAATAAAAACTCAAAGTGGTAGATTCGAAGCCACCATTTAACTACTATCGTGAACCACTACTAGCGCAAGTATTTTGGCTTAAATATTGGTAGTGTTAAGAGAGCGACGATGACGTCACGGCATCCCACAGAATGCCGTGACGTCGGTGTCGCGCGAGACGTTTCGATCAATTCGTGTAGAAAGAAAGGAATGTTAGTGCTAATTTCATTAAAATAAGGTCGAACATATTTAGTCCGTAAAAAAAATCCCTTGGCCCTATTGCAATGTGCATATTATACACGTTCTACCACGAGTAAAGCCCGCTCGACTTCGAGAATTGCAAGAGATTTAACATAATTTTTTTTGAAATACGTTATCACAAAGACTTGATCAGTGACGATACTCACTAGTAGACTAGTACCAGTCTTCCTTTTTGGTGATTACAACAAGCACCCTTAATTTTTAAGACGATGATAGTTTTTCTAATTTCGCAACGGAGAGCATAATTTTAACAAGGCTCTTTAACAGGGCATTCAAAGTTATGGAACTGGGTGCTGTAAATTACACGAAACGTCGGCAGTATAAAATAAGTTAGTATACGCGATAAAATCCGTAAAACCTAATTTTATGTTATAAAGTTATAAACTGTTTACCTGCAAAAGAATAAAAAATACGGAGCAGTGGTAAGCATAATAATCACAGCAAGATGATCCTCCTCCTCATCAGCACACCAGAGTCTCAGAGTCGGCAGTACCAACATTAGCAGGCAGGAAAATAGAAACATTATCCTAAAAAATTTTTATCGGTCAGTGAAAAACCATTCCCGTATAAACTTAAGTACCCGGATGACCGAGCTTTGCTCGGTTTTTTTAAATTACATTTAGATACAAATTACATGAATAATATTTTTTGATCTTATTGACAGAAAAAACTGAACTGGTTATTTGAACAAAAAATCATTAGTGCAATTAGTTTAATTAAAATTTTCGTATTTTTAAAAAATACTAAAAAAAAAGGTTCGAAATAATAGATTTTGTCACAAAAGAAGGGAACTTGAAAAAAAGGAAAAAAAAGTCGGACCGAAGCGGGACGCTAACCATGGCATTACGATTTCGCGACCGCTCGATATCCACTTGAGCTATTACGATCATTAACACAGTGTCAAAATTTACCTTCCTATATTGTAGCAGTTTTTCATTGCCTGAAAACACGGACAAAAAGACATTTTCTAAAAATAAATCCTAGCTAGATCGATTTATTGCTCCCGAAACTCCCTGGACACTAAATTTTATGAAAATCGTTGGAGCCGTTTCCGAGATTCCGATTATATATATACAAGAATTGCTCGTTTAAAGGTATAGTATTATGTACTTTTTTACGTGGTGGGGCCACGCTGCAGCTATATTATGGCTGTAGCGTGAATAGGTCAGCTCGACCGGGGTACACGCTCACACAGAATACCAACTTGAAATAGCAGCTTACTGCTGATGTGTTTCCTATGGTGAGTGTAGAAAAGCGCAGACCATCTTAGCCCTTAGGTGTGACAACCCATCTGCATTTTGACTCTTAATCGAGGATAAATGTAGATGTCTTAGGGCCATTCCATCCATTTACCATCAGGCGGACACATATTGTGTGCACATTTGCCACCCTTATTCCATTAAAAAATTGTTTAAAAATCTTGAATATCATTCGCAATAATATCATGCAAAAATCTTCTTACACCGAAAGGATATTGTAGCAAAAACACATGCACACTTAATGAATCACTTGCCCTTAGTCTTAAATGGCAGTGATACAGCCGGTGTCTAAAGCGAGTCGCTTACCGTGAATTTCGATAATAAAATTATGCTATGAAAAAAAAAGAATACGTTTTTTCTTACCTTGAAGATTTCTTACCTTGAAGGCACTGTACTTAAATTCTCAATAAACATTTTTAATCCCAAAAACCTCGCTTCTCTGAGAGCTCCTCCTATAAACGCTATAGCCCCCAGCCAAAGCAATAATTCTCCTGAAATTCGTACCTGTGAAATCGATTACGTTAACGTTATTAACGTTACTCATATTACCGATTACGTTATTTATATTAAAACAACTATTGTTACTGGCTTGAGCACACAATATTCACATTTTTCGAGATGTTTCTACTGATTAGCTTTTTAGAAAATGTATAATATGTTGTGAAACATTGAACAAAATGTCGTATTTTGAACAGGATTTTCACACTCGTAGAGAATCGATAATTCTTGGAATAGTATAAGTTCTGAATATTCGGATACTTGAAATACTCAATTAATTTCTTAATCGAATGTATTTTGAAATACTTAATATTATTCGAATTAAAAATTATAATTAAATAGACCGTAAAAAATCTGTGACATTCGGGTTCACGTTTGTTTTATAAGCACTAACCATATAATATTTCTCGATAACACTAATGATACAGAGGCCTATGTTGAACAGTTGACTTTTTATTGGCTGTAATGGAAGCAAATTTTTTTTCTTTTATAAAAATTTTATATATAGAGATAAGATAAAATATAATTAATTTTTAAAAAGTAAGAAAACCGAATAATTCTAAGTATATTGTTTCACAAAGAAGTACAAAATTATAAAAAAAATTGTAGCAGTAATATAGTGGCAACTCGTATATTAGGGGCAAATTAAGATCTTTTTTTTTTATATTCAGCTCTATTAACTTAAAACACATTTCGAGAAAACGACATCAATTTCATATCTTGTAGAATACTGTATATTTTTCCGATGAAATAAGACAGTATTAATAAAATAAAACAGATAACGAAAAAGTGGTTAAAAATTTACTTACAAAGTTTCACTGTAGACTACACAGTTACAAAGGACAAACCTTGGCGTCAGACATCCTCGCCTTAGGTGTATATGGATTTCTTGCTTTCAAAGTAAATATCTTACTTTTAAACTGTTTTCCCAGTAAAACATAAACATGTGGCATATATTATATATATTATAAATTAATATGTAGCACGAATGGGTCGGCTCGATCTGGGAAAGACCATACTCTCACAGAATATCGGAGTAAACTGCTGTTTCGTATAGTAAGTGTAGAGAACCAGCGACCCTTTTTACTGGAAGTGAAGCACTCCATCTTAGTCCTATCGGGTCCCGAGTTGCCTTCGAGGACGAGGAAAAGGCTGAGTGCTTTGCAGATAGCATTGCCGCTCAATGCTCTCCCAGTTCTCAACCCGTCGACCCCTCACACGTCCAGGCAGTGGAGGATGAGGTCCGCCGCCGGAGCTCACCCCCCACGGCCTCTGAACCTATCTCTGTGTCCAATGATGAGATCTCATCCCTCATCAAAGGACTTAAGCCTAAAAAGGCTCCGGGCGCGGATGGCATCTCCAACCAAGCCCTAAAACACTTTCCCGAGCAGGTGTTAACCTTTTTATCTATTATCTTCAACGCCTGCTTCAACCTTAGTTATTTTCCCACTACGTGGAAAGAGGCTACTGTGATTGGAATTCCCAAGCCAGGCAAGCCTCTCAACCTCCCCCTCCAGCCATCGCCCCATTAGCCTCCTCAAGGCAATGGGCAAGCTCTTCGAAAGAGTCATCCAAAGTCGTATGAGGCGCTACCTGTTTCCCACAGACGGCGACCCTCTTATCATTCCCCATCAATTCGGCTTCCGAGCCAAACACTCATGTCCCCAACAAGTTCACCGCATTGTGGAATATATCCTCAGCGGTTTCTATCCTCGTCGTCATAAGACCATCGCGGTCTTTTTCGATATAGCCAAAGCTTTCGATACAGTCTGGCACACAGGCCTTATCTACAAGCTCTATAAAATAGGTCTCCCCGATCGTCTAGTTCGTCTCGTGGCCTCCTATTTAAAACATCGTACCTTTCGTTTCAGACACGAAGGCACGCTCTCTTCACAGCGAACTATCAAGGCTGGTGTCCCTCAGGGCTCAGTACTTGCTCCTCTGCTGTACATCATATTCACCAACGACATTCCCATCCCGTCGAAAGGTGTTCAACTCTCCCTCTTTGCAGACGACACTGCCATCTACTGCAAAGGTGTCTCACTACCCTTCATACGGAACAAGATCCAAAAGTCAGTTGATGACCTAGGAGCTTGGTTCAAAAAATGGCGCATCGATGTGAACCCGGAGAAGAGCTCCGCCGTTCACTTCGATTATAAACGACGCCGTCTCAAAAACACTCCACCAATACGTATGCTAGGGACCCCTGTCCCCTGGCATACGTCCGCCAAATATTTAGGTGTCACTCTAGACACAGGGCTCACTTTCAAGCCCCACGTCAAAAGAGTAACCCGTCACGCACGTTTTTATCTGAGTAGGCTCAACAGTATGTTGGGCCGACACAGTAAAATGTCCCTTCGAAACAAGCGTACACTCTATAAGGTATGTATACGACCAGTCATGTCCTACGCGGGCCCCGTCTTTGCCCACGCAAACCCTAACATTTTAAATGAACTCCAAATAGTTCAGAACCTATTCTGTCGTCGAGCTGCGAACGCACCGTGGTACGTCCGCAATGCCGACCTTCATCGGGACTTAGAGCTCCCAACAATTCAACAATTTTTTTAAAAAAACTCTCTGAGAACTTCTTCAAAGCCTCAGAGTCGCACCCAAACCACTTAATTCGTGAGGCAGCTTCTTATGCAGCCCCACCCCCCTCTCGCTATCGTGTCCGCAGGCCGAGAAACTCTCTCTCGGACCCGCCTAATAAACTTTCAAACGACCTGAACTGTCTCCTGGCAGCTCAGGCCAACTCTAATTAAATAAAATTATTGTAATATCTGACATTAATTTGCCTTCGTAGGCACTCCCTCAGCGGCACTTAGCCGCCTGCGCCCTCTTTTCCCAAAAAGAGGGTCGCTCATGATAAGGCACAATAGAGCTTAATCAGCCGGTTGCCTGTCCCTAAAGGCGGTTTTTAGGGGGTATCACTTAGGGTCCCCGGTAGGACAGTGAGTCCCCATAACCACGATAGACCGGCTATCGTGGTATGCGTAATGCATTTTCCGCCTCCCTACGTACAGGGTAGCCCTTTAATTGCTTCGGGCGCAAAAAAAAAAAAAAAAAAAAAAAGCTATCGGGTGACAGCGCACCTGCAATTTGATTCGTAATCGAGGATACTTGTAGATGTCTATGAGTCACAGCAGCCTCTTACCATCAGTTGGACTGACTGCTCGTTTGTCACCCTTATCCTATAAAAAAATACATTATCTTTTTTTAAAGATGGTTGTAAAGTAAAATAAAAACTAATATTTTTAACATCACAAATATTCTTTAAAAAAATTCTTTCAGCATTGTAGCGAAACTCATATTTTGTCATCAATACGCTCAGAATACTGCAGAAATTTAACATGGTTACCCTGGAAACGAGACGCAAAAAGTTGGGGCTTATATATCTACATAAAATAATAAACTCTACGATTGATTCCCCGTCCCTGTTTGCATTGATTATATAAAAACTCATTACAGGGCCCGTGACCACAAGCCCAAACTGTTTTCACTCCAAGTGTACCATAACAACACACCATTTGGTTATATATCTGTCTAGATAATCAAAGAACACACCATATTACAACCCAGTGGTTAGGATGTGTTGCATCTACAATGATAATATCCCAGGACTATCCAAATGTTGATATTCTAGGTTCGAATCCAAATGTCTTCAACAGATCTATCGGTGATATTCTGAAATAATTGTCTTATCTGTTTTTTGTCTCCATTTACTTTTGTTCTAGCTTTAAATCTATAACTTGTAATCTGCTGGATGGGTAATTGCAAAACCAATGTTTATTAAATTATTTATAACTATAGTAGTTGTAACTCATTATAATGTACTTCATAAACACATGTTTTTGGCTTACAGTTTAGTACTTTAATCATTTAATTTTAAGAAACTAATATGTCCACATCTGTAAACTGTAGTGTCTTAGTAAATAAAAATTAAAATAATTAAAATACGTACTTTTGCTTGCCATGAGTCAAAATTCATTAACCTGCATTCTTCTGTAAGATCCTGCCACCAATCTCCCATGGACTCTCTTGGTGAATCAAAAGCTAAAAATATTTCACACTCGTATTAATGTTTTTCATATCAGTAAATTTTGATTAAATATGACAAAATCTATGGAGGGGGGGGCTATGTCCAGCAGTGGAGCTTAATAGGCTGTAAAGGGGACGGTGAATCTTGATTGCAGTAAGTAATGACCCAAAAGAATCAATGACCGCAATTTCGTCCCGTAGGTGTCTTATGCCCGGTTTACATTTTGAGAAGTGACAAGTGCAAGTTGCAAGTACAACTGACAAATAACAAGTCCTTAGTGCGTGTGAATAGGCAGTGATAAGTGTAAATAAAATACGCATTAAGCTCTTGTCCTTTGTCAGTTGCACTTAGCAATCGCATTTATCACTTCTCAAAAGGGTCTTAGGGAATAGGTACCTAACTAATACAGCTGCCTATAAGATAGGCTTCTGAAAGCGGGTGGAACACCGGTACTTGAAGTCCTTCAGAAGCTCTTCAATTCCGTCCTCCATGGTGGCACTACTCCAGAGGCGTGGAGCAGAAGTGCGGTGGTCTTGTTCTTTAAGAAAGGCGACAACGCTCTCTTAAAGAACTACAGACCGATTTCCCTTCTGAGCCGCGTCTACGTGCTGTTTTCGAGAGTCATTACGAATCGTCTCGCACGCAGACTTGACGACTTCCAGCCTCCCGAACAAGCCGGTTTCCGAAAAGGCTTCAGTACCATAGACCACATACATACCCTGCGGCAGATTGTACAGAAGACTGAAGAGTACAATCTGCCACTTTGCCTGGCGTATGTGGACTATGAGAAAGCCTTTGATTCCGTCGAAATTTGGGCGGTGCTACAGTCCCTTCAGCGGTGCCAAGTTGACTGTCGGTATATCGAAGTGCTGAAGTATTTGTACAGTAGGGCTACGATGGCTATCCGAGTACAGAACCAGAGCTCGAAACCTATCCAACTGCAGAGAGGTGTAAGACAGGGTGACGTTATATCCCCGAAACTCTTCACCGCTGCATTGGAAGACGTTTTCAAGCTACTGGACTGGAAAGGTTACGGTATTGACATCAATGGCGAGTACATCACTCACCTTCGATTTGCCGACGATATAGTCCTTATGGCAGAATCGCTGGAGGACTTAAGCACTATGCTCAATGACCTCAATAGTGCCTCCCAACGGATAGGTCTTAAGATGAACATGGACAAAACAAAGATCATGTTCAATGTCCATGTCACACCTATGCCGGTAGTTGTTGGGAGCACTATGCTCGAAGTTGTTGACGAATACGTTTACCTGGGACAAATAGTCCGACTAGGTAAGTCCAACTTCGACCGAGAGGTCAATCGACGGATTCAACTCGGCTGGGCAGCGTTCGGGAAATTACGGCATATCTTTTCGTCAGGTATACCTCAATCTCTAAAAACTAGATTGTACAACCAGTGCGTGTTGCCAGTGATGACTTACGGATCTGAGACGTGGTCCTTCACTGCTGGCCGTATGAGGACGCTTAAGGTCGCTCAGCGAGCTATGGAGAGGGCTATGCTCGGAGTTTCTCTGCGTGATAGACTCAGAAATGAGGATATCCGCAGTAAAACCAGAGTGACCGACATAGCCCAACGGATTAGTAAGCTGAAGTGGCAATGGGCCGGCCATATAGCTCGAAGAACCGATAACCGATGGGGAAGAAAGGTTCTCGAGTGGCAGCCTCGTACCGGTAGGCGTAGTGTAGGGCGACCCCCCACTAGATGGAGTGACGACCTGGTAAGACATGCAGGAAGTCGATGGATGCAGGTGGCTCAGGACCGTGCTTTGTGGCATTACTTGGGGGAGGCCTATGTTCAGCAGTGGACTTGTGAAGGGCTGTAATGATGATGATGATGATGATAAGATAGGTACACACACCGTATCATCAAAGGTGCGAGACGTCTGGTATAATTACGATTGCATCTCAATAGCCAAACGATTATAACAAAACGTCACTACAACATACGAGGCCAAATTATCGGCGGTGGAGTTTTACGGGGTGAGAAGTAGATACATTTTTAGAGCGAAAAACCGCAAGAACTTAAAGCTATTCTATCCATGCAAGCTATCAGAACATAAACAACCTCCATAGATTGCCTCTTAGAGGGGATTTTGTCATAGTTGCCACGCTTGGCAAGTGAGTTGGCAACCGCAGTTTTTTATTATTTTTAGTTGTTATCAGGAAGATGCTGCTGCCATTCCCTGTTTAATTTTCCCTCTGGCGCCTCTTACAGTACCCTCGGGACGATATGAGGTAATAGATATTCTTACACTGCCACTACATGGTAGAGTATACGCTCGGAGAGCGACGCTGCAGCTATATTATGGTTGTAGCACGAATGGGTCGGCTCGTCCAGGGAAGGACCACGCGTTCACAGAATACAAGCGTAAAATAGCAGCTTAATACTGCTGTGTTTCGTACAGTGAGTATAGAGAACCGGAGACCCATTTTAAAGGGAAATGAGGCATGTCATCTTAGACCACAAGGGTGACAACGCATTTGCATTTTGAGGTTAAATGTAGATGTCTATGGGCCACAGCATTCATTTACCATCAACTGAACTGTGTGCTCGTTTCTCACCCTAATTTTATAGAAAAAAAAACATGGGTTATACTAATTAAGACATACATATATAACATGGAATATGACAAAATAACTAATTTGAAGGTGACATTATTGAGAAGTTTTCAGTATGGGTGAAGCGTAATATTATAGTAAATTTAAATTACATTTATCTTTATCTTTTCGATGGCTCTTGAATCGACTGCAGTGAATGTCTGGTCTTGTTACATTAATCACCTCTACTGCGCCAGAATCCAATTCTGTCCCTTTAAGAATCGCTGTACAGTTTGCTGTAACAACATACATATCTTGATAAAATTTATACGTGGTAGAGCCGTGCTGCAGCTATACAAGTAGTATAGTTGTAGCACGAACGGATCGTCTTCACTGAGGAAGGACACGTTCTCACGGAATATCAGCGTAAAGTAGCAGCTTAATGCTGCTGTGTTTCGTATGGTGGGTGTAGAAAGCTGGAGTGTAGAGACCCTTTTTATGGGAAATAAGGCATTCCATCTTAGTCCTGAATAGTTCGTAATCCAGGATAGATGTAGATCTCTATGGGCCACACCAACCATTTACCATCAGGTGGACTGTGTGCTCGTTTGTCACCATATCCTATAAAAAAGACTCGACTGTGCAATTTTGAGTAGCTTATTGCGATATTTTTTTTGGAAGCGTTTTTAGATCAACTTAGATACATCAAAAGCGTAATGAGAATGGAACCATTCCTTACAATAAACATTGGTTGCGCGGAAAACGATTAGTGTATTTAATTTTATTCGAGGGTATATTGTGCCAAGTGTCCTTCCTTCGACCTATCCCTTCCGTACACACTGAGGGGGGGGTGAGAGGGGAAAGAAGAGATTCTAGAATGTTGTGTGATTCTTGCAACCAATAAGAAGCGCGCCCGACCGAGATGCATTGATAGGAGGGCCGAATAAATATAAGCTCGTGCACGGCCCTCGTGCTCTCTCTTCCATCGCACCACCGGCCAGGACCGCACCCCTGGGGCCTCAGGAGATCCGTCAGAAGTCGCACCGCAGCAACAGAAGCGTCCAAGCCGCATCGAAGTCACACCCCGGTAAGTGTGTTTCTTTTTTACTATAACTCAATGCCTGCTTGAGTATTTGTTTGTTAGTTAAACCGCCCCATTTCATTCCTCCTAATGTGCTCAAGCAGGATTCCTTCATAACCTTGGCAAACAATAGATTTCGGAAGAGCGAGTGCATTGTCAAGGAACCGCGTGACACCTATGCCATCTCGTTGAGGCAGAAGAAGCTTACCGCGTATACAGTCCATCTAGTATAACATCTCGCGTAATAGGGTCAAGCTCGACCGGGGAATCGGGATTGGGCATCCCTAAAGCCCGCCGCCCAACCATTTTGTGGTCATTCGAACGGATTTGGACTGGTGCTTTGTAGCCTCAACAACCATTTCTGGAACTGGTGCTTTGTAGCCTCAAAGAGTCGAACTGCTGGATTGATTCCTTAGACAATGCACTCTAATTTAATATTGGATGGATTATGTAGTTTTGTTTAGTTTAAATTTAAAATGTATTAGTTATTCGCATAAGTAAATCGACTTATTTATTCAACATAGTTTGGCTCCGCTTGCCCTTATTCGGCCTACCCACCATTTGTAAAAAAATAGTGTTGAGTTAGTGTAGAGTTTTAGATTCTCATCTGTCGACGCGCGTTGTCTCGTTTGGTTGCAAAGGTGTTCAATTTAACGACGTAATACGGCACGATAAGACAATAGTGTTGTGAGATATAGTTGTATTACATTGTGTCCATCCTCTAGCGTTGTGCGATTAATTGTGATTAATCTAATATTAATTATAGTGATTTAAAATGGCAGTTAGTGGAAATGAAATTAAACTTAAAAGCAGGTGTTTACTGTCACAGATCCCTCGTGCTCTCTGAAACAAAGATTTACCCACGGTAGCTAACTGTGAAGGATGGTGGTGAGAATCACCGTTTAAATATCTGATATAGATAGATAGATAGATATTTAAACGGTGATTGATATGAAGAACATATAGATGATGTGAAGAATCGACGCTCCGGGAAGTCTGCAGTCTGTGAACACATACAGAATCGCCCCCGTCACCACATCAGATTTGACAGACCGCAAATCCTCGCTAAAGAACACCGATTCCTTCCAAGGATGATTCGCGGGCTATTGAAATCAAAAACATCCTAATTTCAATAGAGAAGATGGCTGGGTGCTACCATCTGCTTGGGATCCGATAATAAATAAAATTAAATCCCAACCCGAACATACAACTGCAAGACTTCAAGATACCATAAGTTCATACTGTATAGATCGGAACAAAAGTTAAATTTTAATCTATGGTAACCGCGGTTAACTATGACATATAGACGTTGAACATCTTAGTCCCGCCCGTGACCATGAGTGCTGTAAAGCGTTCGAAACGTCGGGTATTTAAAAAGTTAAATATACGTGATAAATTCCGTAAAAACTAGTATTATTACGAAAAGATATTAGACCATATTAATAATTTAGAATTCCAAGTCGACCCTGAGTATACAGTGAACTATCAGCCACTTCTATCATTTTGAAGATATGTTGCGCGTGAAAAGAACGGCAAAGCTCTTACAGTCTCCAGCCCAAAGCGAAGCAAGGCCGGAAGTCCAGTTACGCCCACGTGAATCACTTAGATTGCCCCCCATAGATATTCCGGTATTCAATGGAGATATTAAAACTTGGCCGTTGTTCATAAATAGGTTTGAACATAATATACATAATAATCCATCGTTATCGGACGCTGAAAGATTGTATTACTTAATTAGTAAATTAAGCGGTAGGGCACAGTCCATTTGTTCGGGCTTCACACCAACACCAAACAATTATTCGTCAATATTTGAAACACTTAAGAACAAATATGAATGTTAGCCTCTTCATATTTAGACCAGATATTCGATCTTAAAGCTATATCGCCCGCGAACATCACCGGCTTAGAACAGTTTTTGGATAAATTTGTAGCATCGGTGGCTGCACTTAAGAACCTGAAATTTAATGACCTTATGGACGTGGTGTTTCTCCATATCGCCTTAAAGAAATTAGACTCGGACACCGTGCGTGTGTTTGAAATGGAGCATCGTAGTTCTGAGTTGCCATCATTCGATTTATTAGCATCCTTTGTGCGAGATCAAATTAAAGTGATACAGCGCTCCTCGAATATCAAACAAGAAGTTAAGAAATGTGTCGACCGCAGACAGACTTCATCATCTAGAACCGCAGGGTCTCTAACGTACGTAACCGCTGCGCCTGCATCGCTTCATAGCGCCTGTGTTCTATGTAAAAATAAACAACACGGTAATTTATATAATTGTGCGACCTTTCGTAAACATTCACCCAGCGAACGTTATAGAATAGTAAAGATGAACAACTTGTGTTTGAATTGTCTAAGCGATAGACATTTAGTTGCTAAATGCAATTCTAGTTCCGTGTGTAACAAGTGCCCCAGCAGACATCACACGTTATTAAATTTCGAAGGTGGCAATGTATTCACGTCGAGTAAATCCGACAAGGAAATCACACATACTAAAGTCGACGATTCTAGCGGTCGACCTGGTGACGTCGCTCTGTGCTCATTGTCGAATATGGGAACACAGTCTCCTTCCACCGTGTTACTGGGTACAGCCCGTATCGTAGTTAGGGATTCGCGTGGAAAAAATTGCTACAAAGCGGATCCCAGAGTAGCCTTATAACGCGGCAATGTTGTCAGCGTTTAGGACTGCCTATAAATAAGATATCCTGTAGTGAAAGGCATCGGAGGTACTAATAAAATTACCCAGGGCTCTATAAATTTGAAATTTTATTCTCGGCTAGATCGTAACATTAACTTTAATATAAATGCGTTAGTAGTAGATAAAGTCACTGAACGTCTGCCAACCGTTTCGGTTGACACCTCGGCAATGATTGATTTTGAAAATTTGAAGCTGGCAGACGATACTTACGCCGTCCCCGGAGACATAGACATGCTCATTGGAGCATCGCTTTTCCCTTTTCTTTTTCCTTTTCATCTTTTGTTACACAATAAGGTCAGGGGCAACTCCTCGCATACCGCGCCTTACGCACTGGAGACCATCTTGGGCTACGTCATCGTTGGTTCCGCCCCTATCATGATAATATTTCGGCAACATCCTGTTGTTGCACCGTCGCTGTCGAACCTCCCGAATTATTGACTCGCAATTTTCGGGAAATAGAGGAGGGGAACATCCCGCTTTTACTTATCTCGCGTAATAAATTATGCGAAGGGTCGAGAAGCAAGACGTAAGAGTCTGTTGTTAGTAAACCTGTTGTAGTTTCGTCGCAGCCGAAGGGAACGCCGAGTAGGGATAGCCCTGGAGCTAGGTTTACCGACACCACGAACAAGACTCAAATTAGCAAGATTAGATCGCCCCGCCACCCGTCAGGTGACATATTCAGTGCACGTGTTTCGCAACCCGGGACTCGAATCGATCTCGTTAGCGGAAGCGCGCGCGGCGCGGATCGAGGTCACGGTCGCGGCGCATGGAGACGCCGAGCCGCTGCGATAGAAAGCGTGCCTCACTGGAGGCTACGGAATAGACCTGCTGAGGCCAATCTTGCTTGGCGGGAGGAAGTGAGGCTTCGCGAGCAACAACCCATAAGCAGTGTAGTTTCGAAGCGTTCATCGCATAGTTTTACCGCTTATTAATAATTATAGTGTAGCCGCTTAGAAATTGCATACTTGTGATTGGATAGTTTTATTATTTAAATATTAGTTTGTCGTTGATAGAATTATATATTGGTATTTTGTTAGTGTTTGTTTAGCTTGTTAGTATTCCATAAAATTAAAAATAAAATAGTATAGTTTAGCCGCGCCACAGCAATACGCTGTGTTATATTTAAATCATTTTTGTCGTTACAGTGCAGCCTTTGCTGTTTAAAAGTCGATAAGTAGTGTTTGTTCGTATATCGTAGCGTCTGATTACAACTGAGCCGAGTTGCTAGTAATACATGAACTTCAGCGTGCGCATTTTTCCGATGAAATTACAAGATTACAATCGAATAGAACTTGTAGTCGCGCTTTTCAAAGTCTTAAGCCATTTTTACAATTTGGAATCGTCAGGGTAGGTGGACGCTTGTCTAACTCGCAGTTGAGTTTCGACCAACGGCACCCTATAGTTTTACCGCGTAAAGACCATATCATGAATTTATTAGTTGATTACCATCATAAATTGAATTCTCACGCTGGCCCCGATTTGCTGATGTCAATCTTGCGTCAGAATTATTGGATTCTTTCAGCACGTAATTTAATCCGCAATCGGGTGCACAGATGTATAGCTTGCTTTCGAGTACGTCCTAAGCCGTCATTTCCGGAAATGGCGGACCTTAGGTCTTGTCGAGTAATACAATCCGTAAAGCCCTTTATGCACACCGGGTCTTATTTTGCTGGTCCGTTTAAGGTCACGCTCACTCGCGGGCGTGGTATAAGATCCACAAAAGCTTACGTCTGCATTTTCGTATGTCTGACTACTCGGGCTGTGCATATAGAACTCGTTGGTGATCTAAGTACAGCGAGCTTTTTTGGGTGCATTTAAAAGATTTATTTCCCGCCGTGGCCCTGTAAGTAAATTGTATTCGGATAACGGTACGAACTACGTCTGCGCGAAACGTATTTTATCAGAACTACATGAGCTTTTAGCCAGCAAGTATTATAATTCGAAGTTCGCTCACATCCTAGCCGAGAACCGCATCGAGTGGTCTCTGAACGTCCCAGCCGCGAGTCATTTTGGGGGAAATTGGGAGACTAATATTAAGAATCTAAAGAGTCATTTATACCGAGTAATAGGAGATCAAATTTTGTCCTTCGAAGAATTAAGTACTGTGCTCGCTCAAATTAAGTGCGTCATGAATAGTCGCCCCCTCTGTCGTACGTTGTCATGTGACCCCACGGAGCCGCTGGCTCTAACTCCAGCACATTTTTTGAATTTAACGCCTTTGAAGTATCTGCCCGCCATAGACATGGACGAGAACAAACTTAGTATTTCCGCACGCCATAAATTATTGGACCGATTGGTGCAGTCGTTTTGGAAACGATGGAATACTTGCATACTTTGCAGTCTCGGCAAAAATGGAACACAGCAACTGAACCTTTAACTGTCGTAACTGTGGTTGTGCTCACTAAGGGGAAAACGCCGCCTCTTCATTGGCCATTAGAGATTGTCAAAGAAGTTTTTCCCGGTTCCGACGGGGTAATTAGGGTAGCTCGCGTTAGGACCACAACTGGGTCTTACCTGCGTTCTGTTGTACGTTTGTGCCCTTTGCCCCTTCAATAGTTTAAATTAGCTTTCTAGATTAGAAATTGTAGTCGAAAATTAGGTTTAGTCTTAGCGTTAGTTCTTTTGAAGGGGACTCTTCAAGCCGGGGGGGGATGGTTGCGCGGAAAACGATTAGTGTATTTAATTTTATTCGAGGGTATATTGTGCCAAGTGTCCTTCCTTCGACCTATCCCTTCCGTACACACTGAGGGGGGGTGAGAGGGGAAAGAAGAGATTCTAGAATGTTGTGTGATTCTTGCAACCAATGAGAAGCGCGCCCGACTGAGATGCATTGATAGGAGGGCCAAAGCAATATAAGCTCGCGCACGGCCCTCGTGCTCTCTCTTTCATCGCACCACCGGCCAGGACCGCATCCCTGGGGCCCCAGGAGATCCGCCAGAAATCGCACCTCAGCAACAGAAGTGTGTGTTTCTTTTTTCCTATAACTCAATGCCTGCTTGAGTATTTGTTTGTTAGTTAACCCGCCCCATTTCATTACTCCTAATGTGCTCAAGCAGGATTCCTTCATAACCTTGGCAAACAATAGATTTCGGAAGAGCGAGTGCATTGTCAAGGAACCGCGTGACACCTCTGCCATCTCGTTGAGGCAGAAGAAGCTTACCGCGTATACAGTCCATCTAGTATAACATCTCGGGTAATAGGGTCAAGCTCGACCGGGGAATCGGACTCGGCATCCCTAAGGCCCGCCGCCCAACCAAACATTATTCTTCATAATGCAAGCCTTTTTCTTTCCGTTATTTTTCGTAACTATTAATGTTATCCAGAATTACTAAACGATTACTAAGAGCTCGCCATGTGACCTAAATATTATACGATAAATCGCCAATATGTACTATAAGTCGGACCATCCTTGCTCTGAATATTAATTTAGTTTACAACTAAAGAAAACGTACACTAAAGTGAAGTATAACTTAAATTGAAAATAAAGAAACCTTAGAGACAATAAAGCTGATAATTTTCAAACGGCTGAACTTTTCATAAAACATGTCTAAGAAACACAACTAGAAGACCTGTTATTAAATTAAAAAAAACCGGCCAAATCGGTTCACCCGTTTAAGAGCTACGGTGCCACAGACAGACACGTACACATATAACGGTCAAAAACTTACACAAACAAAAAATAAACGGTCAAACTTATAACACCCATCTTTTTTGCCGGTGGTTAAAAACAACAACACTAAAGTACACTAGTCTCGTTAGAGACTAGGTAATCTAATCTACACATAATAATAAGAGATATAATTGGCCGTTAGATTCAGTAACCGTTAAATATAAAAAAGTATCTTACCGACATCAAGAGTCAAATTGAGAGTTGGACCCGCTGTGGAGTTCACTACGGTAGAGTTAGCAGTGCGATCTGGTGGCCCTGGGCGTAAAGTGAAGCAAACAAGTGACACTAAGAAGTAAAACGAAAATACTATAAAGCGACGATAGAAACGAAATTTCACAAATGTATTCCATTTGATCTTTAACAGGTTGATAAGCATGCCATCCAGAAGTTCTAAGTGCTCGTCTTTTTCCTGAAAAAAATATCTTTGTTGAAAATACTTAATTATAACTAACGAAACACTATATTTGTATATAAGGTTGTCACTATATAAAATTGTTAATAAGTTCAAGAAATTTCTTCATCATCATCACCAGCTCGTAAAGTACCTACTGTTGGACATGGACTTCTATTGTCAGGAGGATTTGGCATAAACGTCGCGCTTGGCAAGCGGATTGACTATGGCAACACCTGACATCTTTGATCTGGCAACTTTGGGGCTGCTGCCCGTCGCATATCTGGATATTGAACTCATGGTTTAAATAAGAAGCTTGACCATTTTTATACTCAAAATTGTATTTTAAGAGTTGTTTCTGTTTCATTTTTAAATTAAAGTATTGTTAACTTCATGTAGAAGCAGCAGCGTAAGGCAATCTTTTACTCTACCTCGTCCTGTATTAGTCAATTTTTTTTTTTATTGAAATAAGAGTGACAAACGTGCAAACAGTGCACCTGATGGTAAGTGGATGCTGTGACTCATAGACATTTACTTTTATCTCCAATAAAAAAACAGATATAACAATCAAAATGCAGATGCGTTGTCACGCCTAAGGACTAAGATGGAATGTCTCGTTTCCAGTATAAAGGATCTCCGGTTCTCTACCCTCAGAATACGTAATACAGTAGCATTAAATTGCTATTTTACGCTGGTATTCTGTGAGAGCGTGGTCCTGCCTTCGTGCAACAACCATATTATAGCTGTAGTGTGGCTCTCCTACGTTAAAGAAATAAGGGAGTACGGGAAAGGACTGAAAACTCTCATAACTTTCGATAGATTTATGTCTGGTGAGTAAATGAAAAGGTTTTTGTACACATGTCATTGTCACCACATGACGTTAACGATACTGAAGTTAAAAATTATATAGAAACAACTTTTAATATAAACTTATGACTATCAAAGGCTATTATTTTTTGTGGAATAAGATGGTAACTTGGTAAGTGGATTCTGCGACCAATAGACATTTATATATATCCTTGATAGCTGCAGCATGTCTCTCATCATCATCATCATTACAGCCCTTCACAAGTCCACTGCTGAACATAGGCCTCCCCCAAGTAATGCCACAAAGCACGGTCCTGAGCCACCTGCATCCATCGACTTCCTGCATATCTTACCAGGTCGTCACTCCATCTAGTGGGGGGTCGCCCTACACTACGCCTACCGGTACGAGGCTGCCACTCGAGAACCTTTCTTCCCTATCGGTTATCGGTTCTTCGAGCTATATGGCCGGCCCATTGCCACTTCAGCTTACTAATCCGTTGGGCTATGTCGGTCACTCTGGTTTTACTGCGGATATCCTCATTTCTGAGTCTATCACGCAGTGAAACTCCGAGCATAGCCCTCTCCATAGCTCGCTGAGCGACCTTGAGCGTCCTCATATGGCCAGCAGTGAAGGACCACGTCTCAGATCCGTAAGTCAGGCAACACGCACTGGTTGTACAATTTAGTTTTTAGAGATTGAGGTATACCTGAAGAGAAGATATGTCGTAATTTCCCGAACGCTGCCCAGCCGAGTTGAATCCGTCGATTGACCTCTCGGTCGAAGTTGGACTTACCTAGTCGGACTATTTGTCCCAGGTAAACATACTCGTCAACAACTTCGAGCATAGTGCTCCCAACAACTACCGGCATAGGTGTGACATGGACATTAAACATGATCTTTGTTTTGTCCATGTTCATCTTAAGACCTATCCGTTGGGAGGCACTATTGAGGTCATTGAGCATAGTGCTTAAGTCCTCCAGCGATTCTGCCATAAGGACTATATCGTCGGCAAATCGAAGGTGAGTGATGTACTCGCCATTGATGTTAATACCGTATCATTTCCAGTCCAGTAGCTTGAAAACGTCTTCCAAAGCAGCGGTGAAGAGTTTCGGAGATATAACGTCACCCTGTCTTACACCTCTCTGCAGTTGGATAGGTTTCGAGCTCTGGTTCTGTACTCGGATAGCCATCGTAGCCCTACTGTACAAACACTTCAGCACTTCGATATACCGACAGTCAACTTGGCACCGCTGAAGGGACTGCAGCACCGCCCAAATTTCGACGGAATCAAAAAGTGGCAAATTGTACTCTTCAGTCTTCTGTACAATCTGCCGCAGGGTATGTATGTGGTCTATGGTACTGAAGCCTTTTCGGAAACCGGCTTGTTCGGGAGGCTGGAAGTCGTCGAGTCTGCGTGCGATACGATTCGTAATGACTCTCGAAAACAGCACGTAGACGCGGCTCAGAAGGGAAATCGGTCTGTAGTTCTTCAAGAGAGCGTTGTCGCCTTTCTTAAAGAACAAGACCATCGCACTTCTGCTCCACGCCTCTGGAGTAGTGCCACCATGGATGACGGAATTGAAGAGCTTCTGAAGGACTTCCAGTACCGGTGTTCCACCCGCTTTCAGAAGCTCCGCTGTAATTCCATCCTCGCCTGGGGCCCTGCCGTTTTTAAGGTGCTGGAGAGCCATTCTAATCTCGTTTAGACTGACGTCCGGGATATCATCGGAATAGTGTCGGATAAGACTTGTTCTTGGATCGTTACTCACACTTGCGTGTGGCTCCAACGATGATGTGTACAGCTGCCCGTAGAACCTCTCAATCTCACTCAACATCTCAGGTGTCCCGGAAACGATGCTGCCACATTCAGTCTTCAGCTTTGACAGTTGGCTCTTTCTGGCAGACAGATCTCTGGCAAAGACTTTGGAGCCCTGGTTCCGCTCGATCGCTTCTTTAATACGAGCAGTATTAAAGTTGCTTAAGTCTCGCCGCATGCATTTGGAGATCTGTCTGTTCAGTTGCCTGTATGCTGTCAAATCTGTTGACGATTGCAGCCTCATCTCCCGTCTAACAGCCATGAGATTAAGAGTGTGATCGGAGAGTTTTTGTGTTCTTCTGCGGTGGGTCTTGCAGAACTTAGCTCCGACCGCATGGACAGTTTCCACGAGTTTGTCATTCATGTCGTCCACTGCATTGCAATCTTGTAGGCACTGAAAGCGGTTGTGTAACTCGAGCTGAAAGTTTTCGGGATTCTGGATTAGAGCACGAGGGGGACGGAGCGTTGACTTCATTAGACGAGACCTCTCCAACTTAACGTTTAGGTTCAGTGTGCCTCTAACCATTCGGTGATCGCTGCCAGTTTTCACCCTTGCGATCACTGAGACATCACTGAACAGTTGGCATCTGGTCGTCATAATGAAGTCAGTCTCATTTTTTGTCGAACCGTCGAAGCTTGACCAGGTCCACTTCCTGTAGGGCCGCTTGTGGAAGAAAGAGTTCATCATAAAGAGTCCCTCTTTCTCCATAAAGTTGGCCAGCTACTGGCCCCTTCGGTTCCGTTGCCATACTCCAAATTTCCCTAACTTCAGCTCACCGCTTTCTCTTGTGCCTAGTTTTGCGTTGAAGTCTCCCATCAACACCGTGTAGTGGGTTTTGGAGGAATGCATGGCTTTGGAAATATCCTCATACATTCCCTCTACCTCCTCATCGGGATGTGCCGAGGTTGGTGCGTAAACCTGTATGACCTTCAGCGAATACCGTTTGGTGATTCTCAGCATGTCTCTACCACGTGCAAATGTTTTTTATGCTGCATAAAATACTATAAAGCGCCGATAGATTAGATAGATAGAGAGATATATGAGTACGGTACAACCATTTCTTAATCTAATATTTCTCTGTATTTAAATTGATCATATACACACAGGAAAATATCAGTAAGCATAAATAATTTCTTAAAACTATGTAGTAATTTTAATTTTATTAATTCGTTATTATGCACTGCGGGAAGGACGACCTTCTAGTAGATAACTCTAGGGGAATGCTGTTATCCTATGTACCGCTTCCTGTATATCCCTAGAGTTTTAATTTTGTCGTATATTTGTTTGAGTCGAGACACTTAGGTTTATGATTAGCACACTTTGTTTACATTAATACCCTGTGTAAACATGTGAACGCTACATATTCGTGTATCCTATTCGAAGGTCGTTAGATATTGTACAAATAACCTTATGTATTATATATTTACATTACTAATTCATATATAATATAACATCTATTCTTCTATCGTTGATCATAATGTATAACTTCATTCGTCTTATCATTTATCGCTCCAAAAACAGTCAGCGTAACTAAACGAGCTTCCGCGATCCTTTTGGCTCTTCTGATACTCATTACATGACGAGTGGTGATCCTTATCGCCGGTTTCATCTTCGCAGATTCCACAGCCTTGCCCCAACAATATAAGGATAAGTGGTGAAATTAAAAATTTTGTACAACCGACCTCAATATAAATAATATGAGTACATCGTCAATGTAGACGATGTCAAATAAAAACGCATTATTAAGGATAACTCAAAAACTACCAGTCATATGGGACCATATGAGAAGCCTCAGCTTTCAAATAAAAAAAGAACAATATAACAACACAAACATAAAAAAATACAATCGAATTGAGTACTTCCTCTTTTTGAAGTCCATTTAAAAAATAAAAAATCCATTGCATATATGGCGTATCGCTTACGGTATGGTGTTGACGAAACTAAGCAGGCATGCCAGCGAGTCGGTATTATGCTTTCATGGCGGCTCCACATTATCGCCGTGAATTCACGCGCGAATTCACGCTGTGAATTCACGGCACAAGACGTGCCCTCCACATTCACGGGATGCTCACAATCGTTCGTGTAACCCGCTGCTAAACATTCGTAGAAGCTACTGCTGCAATAACTTTACTTATTTAATGGGTTTTTCAACAAGAACGTTGTTTTTCAATTGGGGCAACACCAACAACATGACAGTTTTGACATTTAGTTTTTTGACCTATTCGTAGTAGATTCTTTGGCAATTGCTACAATGAATTCAATTTCGCTCGAAAATCGCATTAAAATAATTAAAATCCACTATAAAAAGAACAAATTACAAAAAAAACAAGGCAACAGTGGTTCTGTTAAAGTTGCGTTTCGAAAAATTCGTGATATTTTCGGCAACATAATCGTCCTTCTGAGGGGAAATATAATCTCAAATGGCTTAGCGAGATCCTTCGTTATGCCGAAAATATTGCAGCATTAATTTTGAAATAAATATATGGTAAAGTTGAGGATTAATGTTAAGAATTATGTTAGACGAAAACACGATTTCGTAAAATTTTCTCGATAGAAAAAAATCCAAAGTTACCTCCAAAATAAACAATAAACCGCTGTTATTCATAAAATACTTTAAATAAGATCATGAAACTTTGCATACTAACTGAACTAATTATAAAGCAGTGCTTATGTTATTCACTTTTTTTAAAATACCATTATTTTCACTGTAAAAAGAAATTACCTAAACTATTGGCCTTTTGAAGCGTGATTCCTGCCGTCCTGCCGCACGGTCACTTCGCTTCGGCCTTTGAACGGGGAGGTTGTGTCGCTTACGATCAGAATATATATTACGCAACAGGACGACGTAAAATTAAAATGGGAAATAACCGTAATAAAAATAAGAAGCGACTGGCTTGGCGTTAAGAAACAGGCATAAATATGATAAACCTAATGAAATAAGTGTCTAACGACCTTTCTACTTACAGTATTAGTGATTACAAACATGTCGGTATATAGCATACGACGCGCGGGCAAGTGGGGACGAAATTAGAATTTGAGCTGACTTACTCTATCCCCTTAAGAATTTGGTCGCTAAATTTGAATCGACAGGCTCGGTACAAAACGTGCCAACACCAACGCGTGTTCGACCGGGTCGTTCAACCGAAAACATCGCAGCCGTGAGCCACAGTGTTGAAGAAGATCCAAATTTGTCAATTCCTCGACGTTCTCAACAATTGGGGTTATCCAAAACCACCACATGGCGAATTTTGCGTAAGGATTTGGCTTTGAAGCCTTACAAGGTTCAACTGGTGCAGGGATTGAAGCTGGCCGACCATTCACAGCGCCGTAAATTCGCTCAATTCATTCAGGAAAGCCCGCTGGTTTTTGTGAAAAAATCATTTTTTCAGACGAAGCTCCTTTTCAATTACGTCAGGATACGTCAACAAGCAAAATTGCCGCAATTGGGCTTCTGAAAATCCTAAAGCGATTATTGAGAAGCCTTTGCATGCTCAACGTGTCACTGCTATGTGGCGGTATGTGGTCTGGAGGCGTGATTGGGCCGTTTTTCTTCAAAGATGAGGCTGGAAATGCGGTAACGGTCAATGGATCACGCTATCGCGAGATGTTAACATCTCAATTTTGGCCTATTATTGATGACATCGATATCACAAACATGTGGTTTCAACAGGACGGTGCCACATGTCACACAGCCAACGAAACGATCAATTTATTGCAAACCAATTTTCCCGATCACATAATTTCACGAAATTCAGCTGTTAAATGGCCAGCCAGATCGTGTGATTTAACACCACTGGATTATTTTTTGTGGGACATGTTAAGGACAGAGTCTATACGGAGCCAATCGAATCGATCGCGGCCTTAAAACTCAAAATCCGTGACGTGATTAACGAAATAGACCCGCCATTTTGCCAAAAAGTGATTAAAAACTTTGATGAAAGAATCGACATCTGTCAGCGTGGTCATGGTGGACATATGCCAGATATGATTTTTCATTCATAATTGCCAAACTTTTCTCTTTGTAATACAATAAAAATTTGAATCATCTTCATCTAAACTCTTTGTTTTATTTTGTTTTAGAAAACAAAGTTCTTGTTGAAAAACCCTTTATTTATTATATTTTTATTATATATTTTATACGTGGTAGATCCATGCTGCAGTTATATTAGTAGTATAGTTGTAGCACGAATGAGTCGGCTGGACCGGGGAAGGACCACGCTCTCACAGAATACCAGCGTAAAATAGTAGCTTAATGCTACTACTTCGTACGGTGAGTGTAGAGAACCGGAGACCCTTTTTACTGGAAACGAGGCATTTCATCTTAGTCCTCAGGGGTGAGAACGCATCTGCATTTTAATTGAAGATAAATGAATTTTGATTTGTAATCGAGGATAAATGTAGATGTCTACGGGCCGCAGCACAACAACTTACCATCAGGTGGACTGTGTGCTAGTTTGTTACCCTGTCCTATGAAAAAAATTGCTGTGGTAATATATCACTATTTAGAATCCAAACGTCCAAAATAAGAAATTTATTAGAAAGCATTGAGAAAAAAAATAAGATGGTGTATGAGTAAATTAAGTCCGTACGCCTTTGTAGTCCGAAACGAACTGGCACGGTGCCGTGAATGTGGATGTGTACGCGTGAACGCCGCGCGAAGGGTGCGTGAACCCTTTGTCGCGTGACAAAATACCGACTCTGATCGGGGAACAGGCGTGAACGCGCGTGAATCCCGCGAAAACCATCCACATTCACGTTCACGCCTGTTCACGGAGCTTCACGGCGATAATGTGGAGCCGCGGTCAGACAAAACGTTAAGTATGTAAAAGAGTATGAAAGTGTAAACCCGTGGCCGCGATGGGTCTGACTGAAAATAGGTTTAAAATTAATAATTTATTCTGGGGTTTACACTTCAAGCATGTCAAAACCTTTCAAATCAGAGAGGATTTTTGGGACATGGTAAGGATGACAGTAATGAAATTTTGGACGAATGAAAATATTGTTTCCTGAATGATTTTAATGAAAAGTTTGTGGTGAAGGGGACTGATTCATATAAATCTATAAGAATAATGAGTATTGCAAAAGCCTACTCACAGTAATTATTACGTGCAACATTCTTAATATTGTACGTTGCATCTGTCAAAATATAAAATTAAAATTTTGATTCTTAATTGAGGATAAATATGGATGCTTATGGGCCACAACCACTTCATTATTATATACACATCCACTTACCATCGGGTGGACTGTGTGCCCGTTTGTCACCCAATGCTATAGTAACTAACATTAAATTGTCATAAACAAAAACTAAAAAGACATCATAAATACTTACACCAAACACAACCAAATTCAGCGCGGAGTCTTTATGAATGAGCCCAGTTTCAGTGTCAATAGTGTCCACCAGTCCTAATGGATAAGCGGCACAAGTGGTGGCTCCGATCTGCCAGTATATCTCCCGTTCAATGTTCAGGATGTGGACAAAAAGATCTGTACGGGCTAGCTTGGCAGCCAGAGTGAGAGGAGTTAGATTAAGAACATTGCGTATGTTTAAAGATGCACCAACTTCGTATGCCATGTCAAATGTGCTCTAGAACAATACAATAACAGTTATAAGTTTACAAAATAAATAATGCAAATGGTCAATTAAATTATAGGACACACTTGAATAGGTTCCACTTAATTACAGCGAAACTCTATTTTACTCGATTTCTATTGTTTTTATAAGTTAAATCTTACGGTATTTGTTTATATTTTAATCGAAACTGTTTGGAAATAGCAATTTTTTTCCGATTTTTTTCCGCCACAGTTTTCTAACGTTATTTTTTATATATAAAATGTATTAGCTTTTCAGCTTAATTATAATTATTATGTCTTCTGGAACCTCACAATAGAAAATATTTTGATATACCAATTTTATGACAGTGCAACGACGAACTGTTCTGCACTATAACAAACGTGGAGATAATTATTTGTTTATTGTTTGCAAATATTATAAGTGTCCACGTTTCGGCACCATATGTGAGTACTGGCAAGACACACTGGTCGATGACTTTCGTCTTCAAGCTTTGCGGTATGGGCGACGAGAAGACCTGACGAAGCTTCCCTTGCGTTTAGGTAAACGTAGTGTGGGACGCCCCTTGGCTAGATGGAGCGACGATCTGCGCAAAGCGGCTGGCAGCAACTGGATGCGTGAAGCCGAGATCGGGCTAAGCGGCGCGCCTTGGGAGAGGCCATGTCCAGCAGTGGACTGCCGCAAGCTGATGATGATGATGATGATATATTATAAACAAATTAAAAATATTTAAATACTAGCGATTCGCCCGGCTTCACACGGGTGATATCTGAATCTTGACAACAGCGCCACCTACCGGGTCCAAATGTGAATTTAAACTTAGTTTTAACGAGACTAACTGACAGCATTTGATTTTTATACATATATAGAAAGACAATATTTTCTTCTCTATCTTAAAATTGATATCCATACCGAATTGATCGTAAGTAAATATAACATTAATATAAATTAGAACTAAGGTGTAGTATAAATGCGGAAGCAAAAATCACAAACGAGGTAGAGCTTCTTGGGAAAAGTAATTAAGTACTTATAAGCAACTTGTGTAAGCAAATTATTTAAGCAAATTAATATTTAAGATGTTAAATTTATCTTCCTAAACCAAATTTTGTCTGTTGTCGTTATATTTTCCAACATCGATCAGTAGATTATTATAGGTTAATAATGACGTTACGGCACTGAAATAGTTGTTCTATATATAAAACTACCAGATTTTTATAGTATTCTCCCAAGTCAGCATGAATGATACTTACAGAGTAGATATAGTAATAAATTATTTTACTCTGTAGCTAACCACATGATGAGTTATTTACCTTTTTTTACAATAAAGGTGACAAAGGAGCACACGATCCATCTGGTAGTAAGTAGATACTGTGGCCCATAGACACCTACATACATTTATCCTCGATTAAGAATCAAAAACGCAGATGCGTTGTCACCCCTGAGGACTAAGATGGAATGCCTCATCTCTATAAAAAAGATATCCGGATCTCTCCACTCACTATACGAAACATAGCAGTAATAAGCCGTTATTTTACGCTGGTATTCTGTGAGAGCGAGGTCATTCCCCGGTCGAGCCGACCCATTCGTGCTACAACCATATTATAGCTGCAGCGTGGCTTTACCACGTATAAATATATTCCAGTATAAGAAAAACGAAATAATGAAAGTTACCATTTTATCATATATAATAAGCATATGTAATACAGTATTTCCATTAGTATCCTGCTTATCAGGGTCTGCGCCTCGTGCTAAGATCAGCCTGTAGGATTCTTCTTGACCCAGACATGCTGCGAAACTGAGGGGATACTCACCCCAGTATACGTAACTGGAACCAATTAATTTATTAAATGGTAATTAATAATAATAATGTCCTCCAGACCGAATTTCGGTCATGGCGGCCAGCCTCAACGGTAACTAGCAATCGGCGCAGGACAGGATTATAGTGCCCGAGTGTATACGCAAGCATAGGTGCTCTCTCTATTACCTCACTCTCATAATCTGATGGGACGGTAAACCGACACGACCGGAGAGAGATCGGGCGCAGGACCAACGGCTTTACGTGCTTTCCGAGGCACGGGGGTAAGACACCGCCAACTTCCTGACTCCGGGCAGCTACTGAGAAATTCTTGACGGAAAAACTCGAAACTATTGATTTTTGGGTCCGACCCGGGATTGGAACCCAGGACCTCATGATCACCAGTCACACTATTACAACCACTAGACCAACGAGGCAGTCCGACTTGACTGCTTCGTTGCCGAAATTCGTTCTGGAGGACATTAAGTGGTAATTAATGACAACCGGAAAACTTATTTTTAAAACGAGTTGCAGCAAATTCATTACTTTCGTAGGGGTGGGGGTGGGGGTATTTGCCATAGTGCTCTGTTTGGCAGGCGGGTTGGCAAACGCAGTTCTTTTATTATTCTTGGTTGTTATCAAGATGATGCTGCCCATATTCTGCAGCATTTTCTTATGTCGTATGACTGCGTTCATGTGATAATATGGTATAGTAGACTCTACGCAACCACGTATATATATGAGAAATATATGAGAATCCATAAAATTATGCATCATTATGTGTACATAATGATGTTTAAGGCTTAGAAGTGGCGTGTCGTTTCGCATCACTTCAAAAGCACTCCAGCGTAATGTAGTGTACTTAAAATGCTCCAGCGGCCTCAAAGGGCAGATCACTCTTTACCTTTAAATAACTTTATACCCCAACTGCAAAAGCATAAATTATGTCGAAGGTTGAAAAGATATATAATCTCGTTTATTTGCTTTTCTACAGTTCTATGAAAAAAAATGATGCTGTAGGATGTAGGTGTACGAGCTGCTGTGCTGTACAATCTTTGAAGTTTACAGAAATGATAAAGGCTTAAACCGTTTATGTAAATTTATTCTGATATTATTGATTGTGAGTATTATGTGCGACGGCGAATGATTGCGTACTGAAATGTTGAGAATGAAAAATGATAAAAAGTAAAAAAGTACAGTAGGATTGTAATTAATTACTAATACATACGAAAAAGTTGTTTAACAATCGCTAATCTGAACAGTTTCTCTCTCCTTCTCTTTCTTTCATATATATTTTCACATTAATTCTATTCGCTAAGAGAAAACAACATCAAAGCATTTTTACGTACCCTTCATAATTAGTGTTAGGTTGTACATTAACCCACTCATGGTCCAATGAGTCATAGCGTGACGCTTTCTGATCCTCAGGGCATATAAAATTACCGCAGAAACGCTCGTGGTAATCTGCTCCAGCATCCAGAAGGAACTTTACCATAGTTGGATTCTCGTTCACTATCGTCATGTGAAGTACACTCTCACCTTCAAAAATGTTTCATTTTTTATTGTTAATGCTACAGACATTTAAAGGTTACGTTACTTACAGCAACTAAATTGTTGTTATATTTATAACAAGAAAATTTTTAAAATAAAGTAAGCTTCAGGGATTTCGAGCGCCAACCTTCTCATGCGCTAAAATAATAAAAGATTTTTAGGTCTTTTAAAGAGACCTCATATTTTTTAAATGAATACTAGCAAATAGGAATGCCATCCACACTATTATTAATCACATCAACTTAGTTGGAGCTAAGCTTAAAAAACTTTTGCTAGGGGTAGTTCACGTCAGCAGTCGTAAAAGAAATGCAATCCAACAGTTATTGAGTTTCGCAGTTCGTTTACCTTTTAAACATGGCTACTGACGCTACTATAGTATAATACATAAAGGATATATTAATGTACCTCAAGTAAGCCTAAGATATGTAAATAGCGATACCCGATTGGTGAGTAGTTTTTTCAGTAGTCAGTAATTGGCAATAAGCAATACAAATTCACAGTACGCACAATAGTGTCGAATAAAAATTTTCCAACAATAAATACTTCAAGCTTCAAGCCGACTATTACACAGAAAAAGAAACTTGTAGTTAAATATGTCCAATAAGTGAATACGGTAATTGAAAAAGTGACATCAAGAACTATGGAGGCCGAGGAACAAATAGAGGTTGATCGTAGTCCTAGCGTAACTAAGGATAATGGTGAGCTAACTACAAAAATGAACCTATATTTTTAATTTACTTATTAATTTAATAAATCATACAGATACCTTAACCAGTTATACATTATGTTATGTAGTTTTATTACTTGAAACCAGAGAATCTGAAAATATGACATTTACTGGCAGAAGTAAGAAGTGTTTATTTGTTTGAGGAGAGCCGGGGGTAGTGACAATAATATAATACAATAAATGTTCACAAATTTAGTATACATATAAACTTAATTTTAAATGTAAAACCTATTTAAAGCAGCAACAACTTTGCTTCATAAGAAGAATAAAAAACAGAAAAATTTTGGAAAAGGTGCCAGTTTTATAACATAAATTACACTGAAATTTTTATTTTTATCCTTGAATTTCCACATTTACTCTCATAAGCTCATAATCAATGAACCTACTAGATTTTAGCCTGTTAGAGACAGGATCTAATCCGCCACCACCACCTTTCTTCTCTCGATCAAATCCAGAGCTTTCGCAATTAAGTCTGAAACGTGTAAATACCATAACGATTGTCGAGAATTTCAGCATTATTAATAGATTCGTTTAACCACATTTCTGTCACTATAAAATTTCATAATCAGTGCAAAGAGCATTGCAAAACAAACCATGTGTTTTGGTTCGGATTCCGCGGAGGTTCTGCCGGGCTAGTATGGGCAGGATACAAAAATTTTATCCCCCGATTATATCCACTGACAAGAGATAAAATTGTCTTATCCCTATGACAAAGCTTTATCCACCCTGCGAGTATGGTGGCCTATAGTAGATATAATATCAACAGTAGATAAACTTATCCCAGCGCATAGATAATATACCATAGTATAAAGCTATATAAACTATAAAGAAGGGCACGTTCAAGGAAATAAAGAGGAACGCCACGAAACTGTGACGCTCCCGCAGTTAAAAATTCTAAAAGTGGTAAGTAATTATCAGAATTTATTGTATTTAGTGTCAAAATTTGTATATTAACGAGACGCATCTAGTGGTGTAATTTTTTTTAGCTGCAAAACAATTTTTAGTGATTTTTTTAAGTGAAAAACCGTTTTTTCCCATATTAGCAAAACAGTAAATCGCTTGCGGCGCTCGATAAGTCGCCACAACCTGCTATTTTTTAATGATTTTGTGCGCCCCCTAGAGACACATCATCCTCCAAAAATTTGGAATTTTCGGATAAAGGACACAAACGAAAACCACGTGGTTGGTGGTTTCGCGAACCAAGAGTCTGCGGCTGGAATTGAAGGTGTCACTTGTCACACATCATCAGCCGGAAGTGTATATCCTCGGAATAACCACACTTTTTGCAGCTGGTGCCCCACGTCTTTTAAGTTTGTACTCTAATAACTTTTATTTTTGAGTAACGACCCCTTCATTTTTTTTGTATATAGAGGACAAACTCATGCCCTTACTGTGGGTGAAATTTTAAATTTTTTTTAGGTAAGCAGTTTTTTAATAGTGATTTTTTTTGTAAAACGTATCCCTTTTCGCCATTCCGTGATAAGTTTGTTTTACGTGTACTGGCTAGCTAAACTAAGCACTAGTTAAAAAAAATGAAATTGTCGTTCACTTTAATAGCTAGGAGTACATTGATTTATATTCATTTTACGTTTTTTTCTCTTATCTTTATTTCATGCCCAACCTGTTTTATTCTATATTTGTTATAAAATCTCTGCACGTTGTTAAATTACATATTAGATTTAGTATAGCTATAAGGTCCACTTTCTTATTATCCTATTTTATAATGATTTCTTATATTTACGCGAACACTACACATTGAAATAATACTAGTTTTTACGGAATTTATAGCGTATATTTAACTTCTTAAATACCCGACGTTTCGAGAGCTTTACAGCACCCATGGTCACGGGAAGGACTGAGATGTTCAACGTCCAGATGTCATAGTTAACCGCGGTTACCATAGATTAAAATTTAACTTTTGTTCCGATCTACACAGTATGAACTTATGGTATTTTTTTTTTTGCGCCCGAAGCAAATATGGGCAACCCTCCGGAAAGCGGGAGAGGGAGGTTGGGAATGCTCATAGCATACCACGCAGCCGGCTGCGTGGTTATGTGGTGACTTTTACCCACTAAACCCAACCTTTTAGGAATTGGCTTAACGATCTGTCTAGAGATCTCTAAGCCGTATACGAACGCGACCCTCCTTGGCAGAAAGGAGGGCGCAAACTTATGGTATCATGAAGTCTTGCAGTTGTATGCTTGGGTTGGGATTTAATTTTATTTATTATAGGATCCCAAGCAGATGGTAGCACCCAGCCATCTTCTCTATTGAAATTAGAATGTTTTTTGATTTCAATAGCCTCGCGAATCATCCTTGGAAGGAATCGGTGTTCTTTAGCGAGGATTTGTGGTCTATCAAATCTGATGTAGTGACACAATCAAACTTGTACACTCCTGCATCTTGCAGAGGGACGTTACACTTGACTGATGGTAAAAACTGACCAATCTTCTTCGGCGGCTTGAAGTATGTTTTGATGGAAGCGCGCTTTAAGATGTAGCCAATCTTGTCAGTGACTCCTCTAACATATGGCAGTACAGCAGGTACACGCTCGACTGTAGCCGGCTTCACTCATTCTCTGTGACGTAGGCGCGGGACCCGAAGCTTGTTGTCATGCAAAACTTGCTAGACGTGTTGGAGCTCGGCATCCAGGTGTTTACTGTCACAGATCCCTCGTGCTCTCTGAAACAAAGATTTACCCACGGTAGCTAACCGTGAAGGATGGTGGTGAGAATCACCGTATAAATATCTATCTGTATGGGTCTTTTTTCTATATATACACAGTATGGCTCAAGGTGTTATCAGGATTCCTAATTACTAACACATCTAGAAAAGCTAAGGAATTGTTTGCCTCTAACTCGATTGTAAACTGAATTTTAGAATTTATAGAGTTAAGATGGTCTAAAAATGCAGTTACTTTATCTAAAGGTAGAATTTTGAAAGTGTCGTCTACGTACTGCTTGTAGAATCTTGGATTTATGGGAGAAGTAAGCAGGGCTTTCTCCTCAAAGTCTTCCATGAATATGTCGGCGACAATGGGAGATACAGGTGAGCCCATCGCTACACCATCTACTTGCTTGTAGAACTCCTCCTTCCACAATAGGTAGCCAGATGTAAGGCAGTGTCTGAGTAATAATGCCTTACATCTGGCTACCTATATTCTTCTCTACCTAATATTCTACGGGCATGTTGTTTTCTTCCAGCCTTCTAGTTACAATTGAGATGCAGTCTTCAACAGGTAAGCATGTAAACAATGACTGCACATCAAAACTGACCATAGTTTCAGTGTCTGCCAGACGTAGGTCTTTAATCTCGCTGACAAAATGGTAGGAATCCTTTATGTGTGCTCTTGTATGTCCCCTGAGCGGTGAGAGTATTTTCGCTAAGTGTTGAGCCAATCTGTAAGTTGGTGAATCGATTTGGCTCACTATGAGACGTAATGGAGCATTGGGCATTGATTCGCGAGGCTATTGAAATCAAAAAATATCCTAATTTCAATAGAGAAGATGGCTGGGTGCTACCATCTGGTTGGGATCCTATAATAAATAAAATTAAATCCCAACCCAAGCATACAACTGCAAGACTTCATGATACCATAAGTTCATACTGTGTAGATCGGAACAAAAGTTAAATTTTAATCTATGGTAACCGCGGTTAACTATGACATCTGGACGTTGAACATCTCAGTCCTTCCCGTGACCATGGGTGCTGTAAAGCTCTCGAAACGTCGGGTATTTAAAAAGTTAAATATACGCGATAATTTCCGTAAAAACTAGTATTATTTCAACAACCTATATAATTAAATCATGACATTGAGCTATTGAGACTCAATAACTCAATGTTTAAGGGGTGACTACAATCTGAAAGGTTGTAGAATCTCTAATTGGGACATCTATAGTCTCATGGGACCACCTGTAAGACTTGTGGTACACATGCATTACAGTTATTTTTTGAGGAAAGGGGAATATTAGATTAATATAATACTACTATTCTTTATTTAGAAAAAAAACTAGATTATTAGGTTTTAGGTTTTCTAGAAACTATAACTTGTTTGCCATTACCAGTTGAACAATTTAAATTAGAATTGTAGACCGCCCTTTCCTTGTACTAAACCACAGTTTGGGATGGTAGGTAAAATATATCAACATGGGTGCAGTCAATAGCCCTAAAAATATCTGGCAGACCATGCTCTGCTAGATATCCTCTATCTACATTTTGCCTTGCTTGTCATATGCCCGGAAATGACATTCACTTCAGGATT